ATTTTTTAAAAACTCTTCATTTCACATAGCTTACCACTATATGTGTAGATAAGTTTAGATTCCACAAAACGAATTTTGAGGTTGTGTAGAACAGCTGGTTCGTGCAGGTAGCTGAGTGCAGTGAGATCATTTTCACCAACAAGTATGTCAGGATTTCGTAGTGGTGGCAAAGCAGCTGGATCAACAGGGTAACTCAGCTCCTGTCAACAAAAAATACTTGAAATGTCATAAAATGCATTACGTTTGCATAAATACAAATCTTCTACCTTTACATGAAGTTATAGAGTGGATGCAGCCCTGTCTGATCTTCTATTTCGTTGTTCCATATATCCCACTCAGCCTGGGAGAACTGGAGGTGTTTGTTGCTTATGAAAAAGAAAGCCTCATTCTCTTTATTTATAATATTTTGTATTGAAATGTGTAAAAATGTGACATGTTTAGCTCTCTAAAAACAGGCAAATTTCAAGTACAGATGAGAATAACAGATCAGCTGCAAATGAATGAAAGTAAAGACCTGGTCAGAACTCAAGTCAGCTCTGTAACTGTCGTTACTTGCAACACCTCAGTTTTCTTTACAGAAAGTTTAAAACTCACTTTTGTTTCTTTCAACAAATCCATTTAATCATACCTTTAATATTTATCATTATGGAACAGGAATGCAGAAATACAGAAATGCTTTCAAAGTATTAAATCTGTAAAGAACTTGGATACTATCATTAACAATCTTACACAAACCAACTAAAAAAGCAAAAAGCTGGCTCTGTGAGAGAGAACTATGCCTGCCCTGCACTTCTGATGTTCATTTCAGTTTAGGATGAGTTTCAGGGCTTGTCTCCAATGCAGTCTCTGAGGTATGTTCTTCATACTAATGTATACAGGCAGTGGAATTGCACTCCTCAGATTTTGGGCAGCAGGTGTGTACTGTACCAATTTCAGTATGATGAAAAAGAGAAATGTGTATGTGTTATTTAGATCCCAGGATGGTGAGTGCTATGTTTCTGCATAAACATATCTCAGCAAACTCCACAGTAATTCAGACTTTTCTCCTTACAGTTCCATCCTCTAACTGCACATGAAGAAAACTGTCTCCAGCTTTGTAGTTTTTTGTGATTTCTGCAGACTGCCAAACTTCTTCATTATCAGGGATCCAAACCCTATTGTACTGTAACAGAAAAACAAGACAATAGTTAGCTTAGCTACTATCATAATACCAGGCTAGCATTAAAAAATACCTTTCAAACATCAAGTGCAATCCCATTCCAGGACTTTTGGGGTTTATTATTAGCTCCATACAGCAGGATATATTTTTTGTGGTTTTGTTATTTTTCACGAAAGAATACAAAAAGAAAGCAGACTCATTAATTTCAGACATGCATATTCTGCTCCTGTTCAGAGCAGAGTCTGCAGAACACAGCATGCAGGAAGGTGAGCAAGGGCCAGACTGTTGCCAGGCTCTTCAAATCCTCTGAAAATGAACAAAGAATAAAACACACTTAAAGGGGAGACCCTGTTTCTAGGAGGGTTCAAATAAGCAAGTACCAGAGAAAGCATCTCATTACCAGAATTCAGACAATCAGGTATGGACAATCACTTCCCTGAATTCAAGTACAGGACACTGAACTCAGAATGCATTCTGCCAGAGGCACATTGTCATACCTAAGAAAGACTGCACAGTTCACTTTCTTTTAATAGGACTGAAGTGCAACCTCCAAACATCTTTCCCTGCTCTAGGACAAACTTCAAAGACTACTGGCTGGTTTCTTTCTTTACAAGCAATCAACTGGCATACTTTAGCTCCATCTCAGCAAGGTATCTGTAATCCACTGAAGCATAGATATTTGAAAAAAATATTTGAATGTAAGCTATGCTGTTTGAACCATTTAGTTCTCCTGCGCTGAAGTTAAATGCAGAAGCAAAAGCAACTTCTTTAAATGCTCTGCCTGAGAAGCTATAGGAAACAACATTCCTTAAAAGGATATAACACAGCTGGAAACCTCAGGAGTAGGGAATTACTTTAGTGATGTGGAGTATGTCCTTCTCATCCTGACAGGGTTTGACAAAATGACATTGTTGTCCCTACTAACACAAGAAACTATAATATATACCCTTCCAGCATCCTTCTGTTTTGATAGCCAGAACCCTTCCCTGAATTCCCTCACCCCAGCTATATTCATGGTCAGTTGAAACAAGCTGTTTAAATAAACCTGTGAGAACTGCTGCAGCTGCTTACCTGAAAAATTAACATTAAGTCAGCATTTCATGGAGTGTGAGCAGACCCACAGATCCCTTGGGGACTTGTATTCCCTTTCCTTTTGGTGCTGCAACTGTTGGTTTTGTCACAAGGGACTTTTTTCTCCTCCAGTTTGGAAGGAGCCTTGGAAGCTCGAGCAGATCCCCAGAACATGAGTGTCTCTGCCCCAAGAACCCCCCTGAACCATGGTGGGGGCCTGCAGAGGTCCCTGAAAGCTGCACTGCACAGCTGTAGCTGCTTTAATACTAACCCCAAAGATCACCACCAAGCAATTTAGGGTAGGAGGGACTTGCACATCCTGTGAGTTAGGCTGTGCTGCTCAGCTGAGGTTTCAGTATCTCCAAGGTCAGACCTCACCTTTCTAGTGAGCAACACACCACCCTGGTGCTCATCAGGGGATGAACAACCATGGAAAACTCAGCTGCTTCCATGGCACCTCCTTGCTGATGCTTTCAGCATGATGGCATTTCTCACACAATATCCAAATTCACAAAGACATTTTCTAAACAACCCCAAACAAATGCAATGGCAATGTTTTCATCTATCTGACCAAGGGGACAAAGGCCCAGGTCCTCAAGTATCTATTTAATAGCCACATGAAAGACATGGCTAAATTAGCTTTACATTTGAGTTTTCTATGTTTATCCAACTATAAATTGTTAATTGTATCATTCCTACACTATGCTGATCTTCTCCTGGCTTACAGATAATGATTGTTAAATTGAATTCTTTGTTTGCTGTTATTCTTTGGGAGTTAGAATATCACCACCAAACAGCCTCAGGGGCACACAGTGTTTTCCCATGCAAGAAAATGAACTGCACTAGGTCAAGGACGAGAAAGGGAGGGAGGAGAATGTGATAAAGGCACTGATTCTTCAGGAAAGGCCCCTGGAGTCGCAGGAGCCTCCACTGGCAAATGCACCCAGCCTAGAGAGTTGGCTGTCTCCAAACCCTGCCTCGCAGGTAAACAGACGGGAGTTTGCTCATTTCCGTGTCAGGTTACACCCGCACTCCTTCCCCCTTCACCTGTCCAGCATTCCTGGGAAAAAGAACCGCGCTCCTTCTCCCAGCGGCTCCGAGCGCGGCAGCGGCAGCGGGACCCACCAGCCCTGCAGCTCCATGGCAGCAGCAGATAAGGGACAAGCTCACTAAATCACCAACATACCCCTGCTGGTTTGTTTTTTAAAGCTAAGCAAACAAACGATACGTCACAACACTCCGGTGACTACAGGAGAAGAGGGAAAAGTTGTGCAAAAGTTTCAGCGGGCCCAATAAGGAGGAAGAATCTTTTCTTTAGGGCCAAGTTCTGCCGCACACATTCAATATTTGCCCAACAGAAAGAGCGGCGCTCCGAGCCTGAGCGCCCAGCGAAGGGCAGTTAAACCTTCACGCCGCCTAATCGCTGGCTGGAACAGCGAGACCGGCTCCCAGAGGCCGAGACTTTCACTAAAGGAGTGTTTTTCTCTAAGTGTCTCCCCACGGTGCCCTGTGGTACAGTGTCCCGCACGGGCGGCTCCGCGCTGTGCCCACCGCCCGCGGGCACCAAGCGCTCCGGCTCGGCCCCTTGCCCTCGGCCCTTCCCCGAGCCCGCACGGCCCCTTGCCCTGAGCCCATCCCCTTCCTCAAGCCCCGCTCCGGCAGAGCCCCCACGGCTCCTTGCCCTGAGCCCATCCCCAGCCTCTTTCCCTGGGCCCTTTCCCAGCCCCAGCCCCGCTCCCGCGGAGTCCGCACGGTCCCTTGCGGGCCCCTTGCCCTGGGCCCTTCCCAGCCCCAGCCCCGCTCCCGCGGAGCCCGCACGGCCCCTTGCCCTGGGCCCTTCCCAGCCCCAGCCCGGCTCCGGCAGAGCCCTCACAGCCCCGTGCCCTGGGCCGTTCCCCAGCCCCGCTCACCTGCGTGTAGAGCTCGGCCAGCGCCATCGGGGCACAGCCGCGGCTGTCCGGTCCCGCAGGTGCCGCGGCCCGGCCCGGCCCCCGCCCCGGGGCGTGGGGAGCGGCCCTGCCCCGCTCGGCGCTCCCCGCCCGGCCCCGGCCCCGGCCCTGCCCGCCGAGCCCGGCAGCCCGCACGGGCAGCAGGATCCCGGCTCTGTCCGTTCTCCCACTCACCGTCCTGGCACACCTCGCACACACCTTTAGGGACCCGAAGTGATGACACTGCGGCTGCCAGAGGGGCCCCGGGGAGCAGCCCTGACCCAGCGGAGAAAACCAACACAAACATTAATCACTGCCTACAAAGCGCTGTAAAGGAATTTCTGTGACAAGCTCAGAATAAGATAAAAATTAACAACACTGAGTGGATTTAGTAGGTTTAGAGCACTGACAGGTGCTACAGTTGAATGTCCTTTATGAGGAAGAAGACCTGGATAACCACAGTGCTGTGTTTCAGCAGGTGGATACATGCCAAAACCCACCAGCCCTCCCCACCTGACACGAGGAGCTTCCATAGCACACAAGGGAATGTTTTAGTGCAGTTACTCACATTTTATTTCAGGAACAGTTAATATTAGATGACAAAACACCCTAACCAGAAGTGGGTTATGTTGAACAAAGCATTCTCCCATAAGCAGAGCAGTTTATGGCACACTGCTGCTATCTGGGTGTGTATTTACACATCCTCAGATTTTAACCAACTCCCTTGGCAGTCAACACCGAGCCTGCCATGGAGGCAGAGGGAACCCTGTGACCATCTGGGGTCTATGCCAGCACACAGCTCATGAGCCACCAACCAACCAAAAACACCCTGAAACAAACTGTACAGTTGTACTTTTATTTGGACATTTTCCAGTGATAGCTATTAGGCTACAGTTTTTATGATGCATACATTTACTAAGTACAACATCAGACACTACAACAGATCAGAGCTCAGGTAATTCTGACAATGTTTTGTTTTTCATCTATGTACTGTAGTGGCATCAAGTGCAAACCTATGTTTAAAGGCTTTTACTCATCGCATGAAGTATCAGCATCTTAAAAAACCCAAGTGTTTAATCATAGTTTTAGTATGGTATTTGAAATATGTTCAGTTTAAATCACAAATTACATATAGACCTTCAAATTGCAATTGCTGGTGTTTCCAAGTAGGGAACAAATGTTGCTGGATATCAATCCACTTTCAATGAAGCTGATGCTACTTTTTCCTATAATAGATTAATTTCAGTTAACTGACTTAAGCACTTTTATGTTCCATCCCAGTTTGAAGTGTGAGAAGCTATTTTCAAAATTTGGATAGAAGACTGTGTCCTAAACATCAGAATAAAATGATCACTGGAATAAAAATACACCAAACTGAATGAGGTAATTATTGTGCAAAATCTGTAGAATAACTGTATATATTTCTAAGGGGTCCTTGACAAGTATTTTTCCAGCATCTGATAAAATCTATCATCTCCATAGATAATAAATTAAAATATAAAAGATATGTCCACATTAAAAGAGCATAACAATGATTCAAAGGAAAAAAAAGTTTTTAAAATAATTCTGCATTATATTCCAGGGTTAAAGAGATTTTAGTCCTAAAGTGAAAGTTATATTATACACTCACACTAAAATTTTACTTCTGAAAAGTGCATGTAAAATACTGCCATGTAAAATGTTAGATGAATTACCAACTACACATCTATTCCAACTCAAAAATATTTTCCTTTAAAACATGTCAAGCAGCATATACTTTTAATGTGATATAAAAGTAATACCAGTCCAACCACTGAGTTTAAGGATGATACCTATAAATTACTAGACACTACTTTTTTTTTAAGGAAACGATACAATAAGGCTTTTTACAGGTAAACAAACTTCAAAAATAAACAAAAATACATTGAGGCATACATTTTCAACACTAACGCTTAAGTAGTGGATACATTTCCTGATCTACAGTATGAACATACCGTAATGCCAATTGTTTGTTTTTCAATAGGAGAAAAAAACCTGGGAGGTCAGCATGTTCTCACGTGTTTTCTTTCCTAACCCTGTTACTGGATGCGAAGGCTTTGCCATTACATTCTCACGAGTACAGTACCTGACAGTCTGAAAACGACCTTACACCTCATTTGCAGCCACTTCACAGCAGCCAGAACCTCAGAAATCAAGTAACCTTTGAAAAAAGAGTGTTTGGTATTTGGTGCAGAGGAGAACCTCAATCATTTAGCAAAGATCATTCAGAACCCTTTCACAATGCAGTATAAATTCTTAGAAGTACTGGCATGATCCATCAAATGTAATATGGGACATCTGAATACAAGATGACAGGAGCATCTTCAAATGATTCTGAGAAAGTTTATGTTGTCTTTATTTCCAATTTTAGCAACCATACAAACAGCACGTCTGCCTTTCAAGTAAAACAAAACTGAAATGTTTCAGTCTGCTCAACAGCAAATCTTTTCTCTGTGAATTTGCAGGCAAACAGAGGAGCACCAAACAGTCACCAAATAGTGTACCTCTAGGTTATTTATCAATATTGTAAAATAAATTAATGTTAACACTAAGATGCAGATTATTATAATACATTAAAAATATTGCACAATGCAACTGAGCAACGTGTGTGGCTTTATTTTTACATCTATGTTTGAGCCATCCACCACAGAACTGGAACCTTACACGAGGCCTCCACGCTCCAATATGCCTCACATTGTGAAATCTGAGTTTTATATAGCAGATCCAAGATGTGTGAGACAGAGAAATCTTTCCAGTAAAATGTGCAACATTCAAAATAACTCGGTTTCTCATTATGCACTCTGATTTCCAACCATTAAATCAGCATGAATCATAGTCAAGTGACAGCATCATAGTCAAAACCTACTTAACTTTCTTGTTAGTCAACCTTTCTAAGAATGAGAGCCTAGGGCTACTGCAGAAATTTTCTATTAAAGTTTTTCCCCTCATATTCCAGTGTGAAAGAAGACTTTTCTCTGTTGTTATTATTTTTTTTTAAGTGGCATAAAACCAAGAGATTATACTTAAAATACACATTGCCATCTCTGGGGTCTACAAACAAAGAACAACATTAGACAGACTCTATAACCTAAATAAATACTAAAATCATTACTGACTTCTGATCATTTGCTTCAAGATTCTGTATTTTTAGCTAACTACTTTTAAAAATAACTAAAGGTGTAATTTCCAGTGTGCTACTTGTGCTTAGTTACCATTTTCCTCTGCAGGTGTTACTTGATACAATGTGCAAAATTCCAGTTAAAATAACAGACAGCAACAGACTGTAAATAAGGTTGACAACAAAAAAATGAAGTGTCTTATTTTTAGTGCTTAGTATGATACTGTCATACATTTAAAACAACAGAATATGCAGCAGCGATTTAGTTTGCTTGGTAAACCACAGTTCTAACAAATAAACACCTAAGTTAGAGCATATAGTGAGCTATAGGACTTATCAACTACAATTTATGTCAAACTGACATAAATGAGGAAGTGGTTTAAGAAATAACTTTATATATTGCCAGTTTGTGTTTTTCCATTCCGTTTTTACAAATTCAATGTAACAGGCTCCCACGTGACTGTGTATTCTACTACAAAATGCCTTACTTTCAAGTCTTCCACGTCCAGGACTGTGACTGTCCCTATTGGTCCCCACCTATGAGAAGATTACATATGGATTTTAATTTACACTATTTAAATATGTTACTAAAGATCTAAAAATGTCTCTAGACAGCTGAAGACACAATTTTTGTCCAAGCCCGATTTCCATACTCTGGACACGTACAAATCAGTGATGTCCTCATCAATGCAGTCACCAATGAGCACAAATGCACATCTTTCTACGAGCCTTCAGCCTCTGGTGCTGCTGTGCAGTTCCCAGCTACCTCAACTACACACCTGGGCTTAGACAGGCTTTTGTTCAGAAAAACGTGGGTTTAGTGGCTCACTATGTTTGAACAGGTACAGACATCAGGCAACTGGTTCTCCATCTAACACTGACAGGACATCCTGGGGATCACACACGTGATATGAAGCCCAGGCCCAAGCTGGCTGGGATCTGAATGGTTTCTAAAGCCAGAGAGGATGGATTGAAGGGGAAAGTAACAGGGAAGATGTGTTTGGCATCCATGAGCAACTGAGGAGAGTCCTTCCTGTCCCGCAGACGCACCTGTAGAGATAAGAAAGTGGTGACATTTAGCCAGCTGACTGGGAAGAACCACCTTACAAAGCTGATCTGTGCTTACAGATGTGTGTGTGTGCAAACACACTCTGTGCTAACCTGAGCTGACACATTTACACCAACTAGGACTTCAAACTGTAGTTACTGTGATCTGCTTCACTTCTGCACATCTCCCCCTTACAGTGCAATCTGGGAATACCTAGATTCCCTGAAAAAGGAAGACTTTGTCCAGTATCTGCTAACCATCTTTTCATTACTGCTTTATCTCAGTTCTACCTTCCCAAATTCCCTCATCTTGCTATACTGTAATTCAATTTCTAACAGATCAGAAAGCTGACATTTGTTTCTTTAGTTTTGCTCTACTGGCTGCTTCTCTTTGGGGTTTTCAAAACTTATCACTTTCACCAATATATATACAAAAATAGAAGGGGTAAATTAAGAACTTTGTACGGATATGGGCCTCAATTTTCAAAGCACAGAACTTCACATACAGACACAGGTCTGGGTAAATCTGCATATCTAAATCTTAGTGCTTGAAAAGTTGTCACACAAGTGAGCTTACATACACAAAGATGAATAAGCACAACAAGCTCTCACCTGAAAACCTCATACATAGTGACAGGGAAACCAACACTTTCATCTAAGTCTGGAGGCAGGAACTTCTGATTGCTCATATTTTAAGGCTGACATCACCTTTTCAATGCTGTTAAACTATGATAGCCAAAACCCACAGTTTTTATTTTCCTGAATGTATTTCAGGATGCAAACAGTTTTGGCTGATCAGAGGTTTTCTTGGAAATAGTCAAATGGTTTTTGATGAAAAGACAGACATACCTGTATTGTACGTATAAATGACACCAAGACTCTCTCTTCAAACTCATTAACTGGAGTATACAAATTCAGGACTTTTACAATCTGGGAAGAAGAAAAATCACTTTCAGGTTCATGTTACTGATCAATCAACAGATGCATCTGTGATTACTAATAATATAACTTTAAAATTAGCTATTTAAAAAAAAAGAGTTATTTTCAAGTATCTGTTATTTTTCTGCTTTATTCATTAATGCAGAATTCCATCATCCTGCTCAATGCTATGTTAAATGACTGCCTCCTTCAGAACATATGCTCTTTGGAGGTAGAAACCCAAAATTTCTACATATGTGATGAAAATACCAAATGATGGAAAAATCACATGAGAAGTAACTGATTGTGTTCCTACCACCCCCAAAAACATGATGTATTTCTCACCCTAATTTCTACCCTGTAGTCATGACCTCCTGTAGTCTTACAACTTCTCTGTTTTTCAAGAGAGCGAGCTATTCCTCTAAAAACAGGGCTAAAACCACCAAAGGAAAGAATTACATAACAAAGACTTTAAATAATAAAATGGGTGAAAAAAAACTATTAAAAATTCTCTGGTTTTTTTACTATTCCCTTTATTAAAAAACCAAAACATTTTGTTAAATAGTTAAAACACAGCACTTAGAATTCTAACTTCTTATTCAGTAGAAAGTGATTTTGCAGTAATGTGAATTAATAAATCAAAATGGCTTTATTAATGCAACTGCTAGTGCTGACACAACACTGAAAGAAATAGGGAAATTTCTTCCTTTTCCTAGTGAGAATTGTTCAGTAAGCATCAAAGATGCTTGGGTCCATTTATTCCTGGTTAAGCTCTATGCAAATGTAGTATGGTTTGAAAAAGAAGTGCAACGTATCTGTACAAAATCTGAGCTTTCCTAAACAGGAGTCTGTTTACTGAGACCCACTTGGTTCAGCCTTTGAGGCTAATGGGTACAGTAACTTCACACTCTTGTTTGCAGACTCACAGACAACAGCTCTGCTTGAATTGTCCATCAGCTTGGCTGGATACCAACCCTGATGGCAGGAAGATCAATTCCTGCTGCCCTAGGCAGAGCTGTCTGGAGAACAGAGATGTCTTTCAATGAAGACTTTTCTCTAAAGATTTCCAAAAACAGAGACTGTACAGCACTGCACCCTGCACAATCTATTGAGCTTCCTCTCATTTGTTCAAAACTTAACTCAAACATCAGACTCAAAAGGGTCTGGTCCTTTTTTCACCCCTCCAACTTGATCTGTTTTGCTAAAACAGAATAAGAAACCCCCAATTCATGCATGACAGCAGTGCTGGCAGAGATAGCAAACACCAACAGAGCAGAGAGCTGCTCAGGACAGACAATGAGGATTTGCTCACCTGGGCAGTGGTCAGTGCATTGCACATTGAACATATGGCTTCTGCATCTTCATCTGTTTTCTTTTTTACTTGCAACAACTGTGCAGCCTGGATGAGGGGTTCCAGGGTTTCCTTAGCCCCACTGTTCATCAAATTTTTATCACGTAGCCATTCCTCCAGTTGACTCACATTGTATCTGTACAAAGAGGTAAGAGCATCAAGAACATAAATGCTTGATTAGAGATAAATGGAAATCATGTGCAATCTCTCTTTCCCAGTGCTGCTTCTCTGTCCTTATATGTGTTTTGTAATTTTGTCTTCACACTGTTTTCTTCCAGTTAAGGCAGGGACTTTGACTTTCATAACAGTTAGAAACTATGGTCAAAAATTTCCACTAGTCTTTCCCATTTGTTTCTGTTCCTATGAATTGCACGAATGTGACAAGAAGAAAGGCAAGTGAGATTTTACCCATGTTAAAGTACAGTGAGGCTTTGGGATGTAACTTGAGGGACTAAATTTCCTGACATATGCCAGTAAAATCCATTGAACAAGTGGTGTGAAATGCAGGACATGATTCAGATGGCTTTACCTCAGGATGCAGCAAAGACACATCCACTGCACCATCAATATACAAAAAAAAGCAGCAGTATGTTTGCTATTCTTCTCTAAAAGCTGAGGAAGCAATTACCAACATTTCACCTACAGCTCTGATTCCCACTTGATAATGAAACACTTTTTGGCTTGCCTCTACCACATTTTTCCTTTAATGTCAGGTAGGATTTGGCCAAAGTCAATTAAGCTGTTTTTAGCCAAATTTCACCAAATCAATTCAACACCATCTGCACCTCTTTGCATGTGGAAAAATAGATATTCCAGATATCTGCAACTCCACCAAAATGATATCCAGCAATGTCAAGAGTTCAATTAGCTTTCCAGCAATGCACTGAAGAGAACTGATAAGCTGTCTCACCTTATCTGCATCCCTTTGCTCCAGGAGCACATGTCCTTGCGCAGGAGGAGGTTGTTGAGTGTTACAGCCCCAATGATGTAGAACATCTGCTTGACCACCTGTTTGATGAGCTCAGGGTCCATGCCATGCTGGCACATGACCGAGTGGAAGGAGTTGAGCTGCCTGATGATGGAGTCCAAGGTGTAGGTGCCCTCGTCAGCAATGCTGGACGTTCTCTTGCGCAGCCCCGTGGGCTTCACTCCTGACACACCCTGGATGGTCTCGTGCTCCAGCATTCCTGAAACTGCATTTGGTTGGCACCATTATTGCAATGGCTGAAAACTGCTGATACACAAGGATATCGGGCAACACAGCAAAGCAGAGAGAGCAGGCTGGGCTTTCTGCTAGCCACATTTTGCCATGATTTCCAGAAACTGTGTCCCACTATGTTTGGCAAACTAAGTTCACAGGGTTTTGACAAGATTCCAGCATGTGTGTTTAAAAGGACAGTCTGAATCTAGCTCAGGAAAGTACTTTTTTTCCTCTTAGGGTCATATGAGCAATGGAGTCAGCAAACTGAGAGCTGCTCCATTCTTTTAAATGTTGTGATTGGAAAGCATCATGAAAATTTCTGTGGGAGTACTGTCTGAATAGAAAATGAAAAGTATTCTTAATGAAAAAAAAAACAAACCCTCTCTGAATGTCAGCTTTATCACTGCTTGTGATTGAAGTCCTCACTGCTGTCAATAACAACAACTAAACATTTTTCCCATATTAATTTCAATTAAGAGTTCCCATGTAAATAAAGCCTAATTTTTCCATGGGCTATTTCCCAACAGACAGGGTAACAAAAACCAGATTGTCCTCACAGCTTCTTCCTGCAAATGCCTGATTTATGCCAAGCATGCATAAGGTATACCAATTTATTCTGGCACTGCCAGAAGAACCAGTCACAGTTTAGTTTTTCCTCTAATCCAACCTGTCCAGAATAGTCCTTGTCATCTCTGAACAGAACACCACAAGAACTACTAATGAAACTCTACTGTTTAGGAAGAAACACAAGATACACCTTCTACCACCATTGCAATTTTCATTTTGGTACTATGTTATGAATTTTAAGGAATTCAACTTTGCCTTACCAATCATTGGTTGCAGAATATTTTCCAACACTCGGACAAGTTGTTGGTAGATCTGAATAGCCAAGTCACTCAGAACCTGTCTGTATTCAGCTAAATCAAAATTAGTGAGGCAGTGTTCATTTTGACGAGGTGTATTATGCTTCATAAACCCCTGCATTCATAAAATAACAGAAATTAATGCTTCAGTAGAAATATTACATAAACCCAGTATTGGCATTTTCTTTCATGCAACTGACAAATAATACCTCAAGTCACAGCCACTCAAAATTTTGGTTTGGATCTTTGTCTGATTGAGTCCAATGCCAGGATTTGCTTTTCAAGTGTCATGCCCACAGCATCTGCTTCCTTAACTCAAAATTTCAGGTCTGTGACGTAGGAACAACTCTGCCAGCTTTCTGGCAGGCAAGACTCCCTCCCACTCCAGCAAGGGCATTTTCACATGGCCAGCTATGATCAAAAGCCCAGTTAAGCTCAAAAGAGGAACTGGGCATATCAGAGCCTCCAAACATCGACTGGCCTACTAAAGGCTAAAAGCCTAATATGGCCTTTTCGATAGGGAGTGCAGTGAATCATTGCTAAAAACCATAATGGTAGCTGCCAGATCCTCCTGCTTAATCTGAGCTGGCCCTTTTGGGAGCCCAATGTCATCTGGACTCTGGGTCCCAGCCTGTAATAAAGGGAGGCTGGTTCAAATCTTGCATCCCTGTGCTTTCCACTGCTGCTGTCACCATCATTCCAAAAGTTCTAGCCATTTTAAGAGATTGTGACTAGATCTTTTGTACAAGATTTGTTAAAGAGCAGTGCTGGCAACAGTGCTGGAGAGCAAGAGAAACCAGGATAAGAGCACTGCTTACCTCTTCTCCACTGTACTGCTTCAAACAGTGCAAAAACCGGCAGGTGTTCGACAGCCAGAAGGACACTGTTTCAAAGTCATCTCCTCTTTTCTGAAGATAAAAACAAACACACTTCAGCAAAGACTGGCAGGAGAAATAAAATAGAACGCAAGATACACAACTAAGTGCTTAAAATACACTTTCTAGTAGATCCTCATTCTGATGTTTTGCAAAACTTTGTGTATTACAGTAATGTATTAGGAAAGCAAGGGTTTTGGCAAAGTGCCATTTGGCACCCTCCTTCTTTTCCTTAGTATTTTTCACGAATTATTTCGTCCACAGGGATGATCTTTCTGTGTGTTACAGACCCATCCTAATTGCTCTGGGCAGAAATCAAAGGGCAATGTGACTGTATTCCCAAAATACTCAATGACTCTTGTGAAGAGCCCAGTGGGGAAGACTGGAATGATACACAGCCAGCAGGAGGAGCAGGGAACAATTCAGTTTTGATGAATGCCACTTACATCACAACAGTTTTGGCAGCCTGAAATGGAAAATGAAACAAAACAACAAAGCCTTCTCACCACAGAACACAGGATTGAATATATGCTGAGTAGTTCTAGAGCTCCATGGTGGGCACTTCTTTTACTTAAAAATGTTAAAAACTTCCTATGGATATCTAAGCTCCTGCAGGATTGTTTACTAAGTATTTTTTCAAAAAATTTAGTTTGATTAAAGGCTTGGCTTTTGACACATCTCTCTCATTTGAAAAATAAAAAAACATGTAAGCATAAAACATAACCATGTCTTAATAATGCCTTCAAGATACACCTGGGCTGAACTCTCCCAGCCAGCTCTGGAAAAGACTTTGGGCAATAACATATTATCATCAGTGTAATCTGTAGGTGAAGCAAATGAGGAATCTGTTAACCAAAACTGCAAATGAAACTGTTTATTTAAGTGCTCTGGAGAAGATAAACAAAGACTCACTCTGCAAACTCTGACTACATCCAAAACTTTATGGGCTGAGCTTCAGAGGAGGGAGACTATTCAAAACAAAAAGAAGGCAGTTCTTTTCCCATTAATTCAATGCATCTCTGCTACTATAGGGATAAAATGCCAGCAATGTAATTTGTTATTTTTTTAACACAACTCTTGGCACTTCAGTGACAGTTCACTCATGACAAACCCAGAGCCAATTCATTGAAAGCCTCTTCCTCATTCTCCTAACAAAAAAACCAAAAGCAAATTTTAAATTAACATTTTTTTTTTCCTAAACTAAGCAGACTAACTAACCTTTAAGACTTTTTTGATGCCATTGATAGTGGAAGTCAGCAAGGACCGCACTTTCTGGTCATCATTGAGGTAATCTGCATGGCGCACACACATGAACAAAATGTATGCTGGGAGTCCTGGAATCAGGTTCACAGCTACCCCACGTGGTTTCAGCTCTTGGGAAAAACAAACACACATTGTCTTGTTAAGTGTCAAGTCATTGCAAGATGTTATATGAGGTAATTACAACCTCCCCAGTTATTAGCATATACATGTATAAATATATTTATATATTTTGCCAGTGAAAACTCAGAGCAAAACTAAGGGCCACTTTCTTGGTAAAAGAACAGAATAAGAAAATGTAAGTGCCTGCTTAAAATATGCAGGCATGTTAATATGTACTATACTCATCAGGAAAGACAGTTTCTAAATACACATTTAGAAACTGTCAAAACCAAAATAAGCTATTCATTTCCTAATGCAAATTCTGGGTTCTCATCATTCATTTTTCCAGAGTGAATGGAAGCAGAGAAGGCCACAAATGAGAAAGATGCTTACCTAAAATAAGATTCTTGACAAGTTTTTGTTCATCCTCCTTCTTGTATTCCAGCATCCCTTGGAAGTCCTTTTCCTTCCGTGGAATGTTAACTGGACGAATAGGCTCATCAATGATTTGTCCAGGGGATATGTTCTCCATCTGGCCCACTTCAGAGAGAGAATGGAAAGAAATATTACATTTTCCAGTGAAACCAATACATGCCAGAGACATTTCTGTAACATTCCTTAGGAAAGTCCTGGCTCCAGCAGGACAGGGAAGAGAATATTAAGAGCAAAACAGAGAAAACTCATTGCTTGAGAAAAAAGTGTTTTAGTAAGAGAAGGAAAAGGGGCTGGGGGGGGCAGGAAGCAGAGCAGAGGCAATCACCCATGATAAAACCCCACCCTGAGGGAACTGATGTCCAGCCAGCCTCAAACAGCAGCTACCTTGTGTGCAAAATCCCCTCCTGTGGTCCCTGACATGAGGATGTGCAGCACATGGAATATTCCTTTGGCCAGCCTGGGTCAGCTGTCCTGGCTGTGTGCCCCTGTGCCCTCCCACCTCAGCTTACTGAGGGGACAGAGTGGGGGAAAAAGGAAACCTTGACTCTGTCCAGCTCTGCTCAGCAGCAGCCAAAACACCAGTCTGTTCCCAGCAGTGTTATAGCCTCAAATCCAAACCACAGCATCACACAGGCTGCTATGGTCAGACTGCTAACTCCATCCCAGTCAGACCTACTGCATCTTTCTAAGTTAATTAGGCAATAAACACAGACCAAACTATATTTTCAGGAGCATTTTCCCACTCTGTATTATGTATGAACATTACTGTGATCTTGTTAAGAGAAGTAACTGACCAATATTGTAAAAATACGTAGTTGGAGTAACTAACCTTCACATTCAAAGGAAAACTGGGTAACTCATTTTTGCCTGGTTCATATTTAGTACTGCTTTTCTCTTGGCAAAACCAGATACTGTCTTTGAGTTCACAAACACTGCAGGAAACCTTCCTTTATGTTTGAATACTTTCTGCCCTTCAGAGAAACATCAATCTCCTTTTCTCATCTTCTAAAGGTTCATAGAAGAACACACAGAGGTCTAAGCATTCATCCTGTTTCTGCAATCAACAGAGGCTAAGGCTACTGAAGACCTCACAAGTGTTAAAACAGATGGGTATGATGACAACCAGATCACAAAGTAAACCAAGAGCTTTCTTTCAAAATATAAAAGTACCTTCGAGTTCACCGATCTTCTTAGCAAATACTTTCAGCTGCTTCTTTAATTTGCGAACAGTTTTGTCCTGCTTTTCCAGCTGCTCCATTAAATCCTGTGAATTCAAATAAGGGAAGGATTAAGACATGGGGACAGTCCTGGAGCGTGTGACAGAGACAAGAAGAGTGCTGTCAAAGAGTTACGAGGCAGTGAGGAAAGCTGAACAGAAGTGCCATCCTCTGGCCGAGGGTTGCAAGCTGGTACACTGCCTAAAACACAAGCCAAATATTGCAAATATTATTAAGTTATATGCAGCATGAGAAAGGCAAAGCTCAAAGGCAGGTAGATTCTGCAGACACTCAGAATGAGGTCAGCTCATACAGCAGAAGATATTTTGCTGCAAACACATCTCCCTCATGCTTCCTCCCTGCTCTTCCAAATGCCTCACAGAAATTATTTTCTTTATTATTAAACAGCTATCCCATATTTCTGCATCATTTATTCCTGTCTTTAAGACTGACTCCTTATTCAGACCTATCCATGTTATCAGAGGATGACAGAGGTTCCTAGAAAGACCATAATTTGCACTCAAATGTACCAAATCAAACATCAAACACTATTTCTTGCTGTCATCACATTTCCTTACACTGAAACTGGTTTCTTACACTTTTTTATTCTGTACCTCAATAAATCTAGCATCTAAAGGTCTTATTCTTTTAATAAACTCTATTTGTCCTTCAAAGGAACACTCCCCAGAAACCTATCTTTGAATAGTTCTGTGACATATCTGTTGTAGTACATTAATAAAATAATCATGTAATTAAAAAAGGGAAAGTCATTCTAAAGAAAGCAAAACCTCAAGCTCAAACAACCTGAAAATCATTCCAGGTTAAGTGCTGGAAAGCAGCTTAGAAGAAAAATCTTCTAAGAAGGAGGATAATTCTCAGCACTGGTAGGAACATAAGGGATTGTGAACTCCCTGCATCAAAAACATCATCTGGGAAACTACACCTCTTCTGAAGTACTGAAACATTATAGTGCAGCATGGGCACAAACCTTAATCACGTAGTAAAAGAGTTTACAAGCTGATACGACATACTTGAGCAATCAGACATAAGGCCTGCTGACAACAGAATCGAGGCCATGCTTCACATCCAAAGCACTGCTCAGTTTCACAACAGAAATCCTACCAATAACACTACATGCTTGTTGTCAGATAAATCAATTTCTCCTGAAACTAACAAAAAGATACATGTGAGTCCAACAGACTGTTTTCAATGTATCAAGGGATGGGATGTGATTTCAGAGCAACCACTATGTGAGGACAAATAGAGTTTTTTCGATGGTTCCTCTAAACAGCTTTAACAGATTTCATATCTCATAAAGATCTGGAAACTCATAAGTTATATTCTTTCAAGCTCACATATGGTGCTGCCTTTAATTAGTGTGAAAATATTATCACCAATGTCATTCTTCATATTTTGAATCTCTGAAAAATATTAAAATAAGAATAAATTGAATCTATGACTAGATTGCTGGCATTATTCACCTTGGTAAGGACCTCTACTTTTCTGAACTGAATCTAAATGTATCAAAGTTTCAAAATAAAGAGTAGTTTTGCAAACTGAACATCTTTTACATCATGTACCTCTTCTCCAGGGCAGTATTAAGTAGTATTCAAAAAGAAACTGCTTTGCTCACAGCGCAAGGCTCGTATTAGTAACAAAACTGTGCATCAAAAAGAAACAAAGATTACACAAAGGACACTAAGACTAACAAAAAAAGCAGTGAAGGAAGTAATTGGCATCTTGAAGCTCTCTGCAGGGGGATTTCCTCTGAAAGGGAGAAAGGAGACAGCCTGCTTTTCATTAGTGCTTCAGAAACAGCGACCGAGACAACAGAAAACAGGGTTCACGTGAGCTACATACAATCATCCTCTTGTAAAGGGAAATCCGGTACAACTGATACTTCTTGGGATCATCTGCATACAACTCCTCATAAAACTGCAAAAATAGGGACAGGATTGGTTTCCTCCCTCCCTCTGAGACACTGAAACTTCAGTGAGCACTGTACAGATTAAATCAGAATACAAAGAGATCAGAATCTCCTGCTTTTAGGTATCTAGGCCTTAGTTGTGCTCATGCCAGCACCTTTCAGAGAGAAGCTGATGGAGGTGAGTTGCAGAACAGTCAGGTCTTTTAAAAATGGGCCATACTAGGACTGTGAAAGCATGGAATACAGCCTTTGTGAGAACAGGGACAGGACATTTCTTATGCTAATCAAGATGGGACTGCAATGAACACTACAATTCTAACATGGCATCAGGAAAGCTGCAAATTGTTTCCACTCCAGGGCTCAGAGTGGAACTGAAACATACACTTGGCTTGGAGTGGACTTGCAATACTCAAACATCTGACGTGAAATACTGAGGAACGAGTCTGTATTTAACAAACAAAATTACATTCTGTGTATTTGAAAGCAAAGAACTCCTCTGGGATATAATTACATGACTGTGTGTTGTCTTGGGAACACAATGTGATGAGTAGGTCTCTGGGGGGAAAAATGGCTAAAAATTGTAACATATGACACAGCAGCAGGAGGGAGCTGCTGAGACTAACATTCACCATCTACCTTTGTGAGAGACTCTGGCTGCTGAGGTAACTTACACTTTAGCCAGTTCTCCAACATGGATCAGCTGAATTATCTGATACTTTGCTCAAAATCTTTGGTATTAAGACAAGACCCCAACAGTGATAACTGCTGTCATGTACATTAGCAGGGAACACTACACCTTGGCTTGTTTGGAGGAAGCAATGACACTTGCAGCCAGGATTTTTCTGGCTGAAGTAGCTTGCTTCCCTTCACCAATAACAAGCCAAACATATGCCAACACAGGTCTCTTTGGAAGATGTCCCCACAAATGAAGTAGCCCACATAGGATGATCATACTCCTTTGTGGAAGAAGGCAGAGAGTTTTGCCCAATCCTTCCTTCACACAAAAAGGATGGAATACCAGCTACTGGCTAAGTGACTCCTAGCCAAGTTTCTTTTTATGGGACTATTTCTTTTTTCAAAACATATTGAATGCTGGAGCTCGTAAAATGGTGGATTATCTGTGTAGCTTCAGGCAGGGAAGAGAGAAATTGAAAGAAATTACATTAAATAATTAAAGAATTACATCTGAGTTTTTCAATGAAATAAACAAACTAACATATTTCAGGAGAAACACCTCTCCCTGGCATTATTAGTTTTTATGACTTCTCTGGATATCAACATTCTATTTAGCCATGACTGAAGTCACCAGTTGGAAGCTGGGATCCACAAGCTTCTTCCAATGCCCCAAACTTCAAACCAATCTCCCGAAACATTATTACTTCAAGAGCTGATCTCCCATTAGCTTACACTCAAGAAAACCACCACCCTTGTGCAATTTTCTTGCAGGAAGCTGCCATGTGAAGGATGATAAGGTGCCAGGGGTGTGTCAGGAGTGTCAGTGCCCCTGCCTGCTCCTGCAGCCCCGTTCCCTTACCAGGTTCTCGTTGGTGAGCCGGGTGATCTCGTGCTGCAGGCTGGCCTCGATGCGCGCCTCGGGCGGCAGCTGCAGGTTCTGGGCCAGCAGCTGCTGCTGCCTGTTGTTCTCCTCCTTCAGGCTCTGGATCTCACCCCGCAGAGACTCCAGCTCGTTCTCGTGGCTCTTCCTCTGAGACTGAAGCTGAGACTCCAGCAGCCTGAGGAGGGTGAGCAACAGTCTGTGTGAGCAACTCAAAGTTACATGCCCGGCTCTCAGAGGGAGTGTAAAGCTTTAGCTGCTGCTCAGGAACAATTAGCCATGGCTTGCAAAGGAAAATGAAAAAGGCAGAGTACTCTTTAAACCCTTTAGTATGCCTTCTAATTAAATTAAGCTGGCAAGATCAAAAAGTGAAGAGAGAGAAGCTAATTGTGACACTGCTCTGCGTTTCCTTCGATTGAACACGGACTGTACAGGGTGCCACTGTGGCAATAAGTGTGAAGCTGAGTCTTCTCAGATTGACTGAAGGGGTGTTAAAGAGGTTTTACCTCTAAACAAATCAAATCATCCTAGATGAAGATGACACTATGTTCATTTAAGTTAGCACCTTGCAATATTACCAACGGAAAATATTTTTAGTTAACTTTTTCAGCCAGAAACCATTTAATTGCAAATGCTCGTGGATAATCTTTATGTTTGCATTAAACCCAACATTTTTCAGAGGGTTGTCCTTAATGCACAGAAGGTCAACAACAGAATCAGACTCAGGACTGAAATCCAGGAGCTTTATTCCTCACCACTAACTCATTGTTTCCCCTTGGGCACATCACATCTCAAGTTTTTCTCACTGTGAAGTGGGGATAACACGTACCAGCCTCCTGCCAGGCAGGGCTGGGGATCCACTCCTGCTTGCAAGGCACTGTCCAAGGGCTCTGACTCAATGTTGTACATGCACAGGAAATGACAATACTAGTGACTACCAGTGTTCAATTAGACAATATTTCAGGGTTTAAATATGCATAAGGCAGGAACACTTATTAGTAACTAGACCGGTGAAGCACACAAGGGCAAACAGTCATTCACCTGCAATGCTCTGCCATTTAATATAAAGCTTCTTGTCTCTACAGTGCCAGGACAAGAGGCAAGAGGCACAGAGCAAACCAAGCCCATCCTGTCTGCAGAACACTTGCTCTAGGTTAGATCTTCACAAGGTTATACAACAATGTTAGGGGCAGAATGTGTTAGCACCAGAAAAGGAAAGACTTTAGTTATAGCAGTCATGGCAAACCACCACTTTCTGTAGTCACTGCTACACTGAAGCACCCCAGCAGGGCTGCGCAGTCACTCAGCTGTCAGGGCAGGACTAGGGAGCGTTTTGGAAGTCAGGGACACTGATGAGCACACAGAGCCAGAGCACCCCATGACCAGCACAGCCCTTGCAGAGACCACAGTGGTCCCACTGGGGCTCCAACACCACCATGAGGAACTAAAGATTACTTCTCTTTCGTGGTTGTTTTGTGACTTACATTTTGAATTTGGCATGGAGAGACAGAGGAGAAGAATGTTTAATTTACTGACCTTGAGACACAAGGAGAGTAAGACCCATTTCAGTTTGAAACTTAAGAGCCCACTGAAGCTACTTAAACAATAGTTTAATAATTACTAAAATGATTGTACTTCTTTAGGCTGAAAAACTGTAAGGAACATCAATTTTGAAACCTGGTGTAAAGGCACACAAATAGCATGTATAAGTATGGTGTAAAGGCATACATGGCTACAAATACTTTCCAACTATGGAGCTTCTGGTATTTTACAGTTTACTTTTGTGCAAATACTCTTATATATTATGTGTTGGCTGTTGTGCCATCTTAAACTTTTTAAATTATAAAACCTGACAAGTAGAAAATCTTGGGGACTAGGTTTGAAGAAACTCCTTAATTTCTATCATTTGTGTGGAATTTTTTCCTAGCTGTTAAAGCAATAGAAGTACTGTAGCTAAAGCAAACCCATAGCAAGGGGCACAGTTAGCTAGAAAAGAAGATGCAAATGAAGGAAAAAAAAAACATTCTGAGAAGTCTGGTAACCTGTTGGCTTGTTTTAACCCTTCATAAGCCAGCCAAAGTTCTCCGTCCTCATTCAGCATATGATAGTCCTGGGGAGATTGCCTTTCAAGAAACGTGTTTAAAAAAATACAAGAGATATATGTGATGGTGATGAGGTGACACGGCAAGGACATTACACACTATTTATTACAGTTACCATAAAAGAGAAACAAAAAATGCTCTAAAATTAGCAAATTACTTTTCTTGTTTATGTGCTTTTCTTCTTCATGATGCAATTCAGCTCTCAGTGACAGCCCAGCTGGTTACAGCATTCTGTGCTGTTACAATAAACACATTGCCACAGACCATTGTGACCACTGAGCTTTAGAGGGTGACAAACCAGCCTGGGGAATGGCACCATGTCAGGCCATGCAGCAATTAGAGGCTAAGATGGAAATCCAGAAAGCTTGATTTTACATTTCCCCATTATTTCCAAATCCTTTCAAATACTGCACACAACAATTTTACTAATGAAATCAAATTACAACCCCAGCTATGAGTGTTCTGTAGACACACATGGATGAACTGACTGAACACAATATACACAGTGTGTCACAGCAGTCCCCAAGTGATCACAAAATAAAGAAAGAACTTGTACCTGTTCGTTTCCTTCAGTCCAATATATGCCTGTGCTATTTCTCCTTTGTCTTTCATCTTCTGCACATCCTCCAAGAGGATTGTGGCATCAGTCATTGTATGCTGGAAAAAAAAAAATTCCAGTAAATTTAAGAACACAAGTGCTCCTTGAATCCATGTTTTCTTCATGTGGAACACTAATCCTTGAGTAGCCACATTAAATAAGTGTGGGTACCTGAGCAAGAGGTTGGTCCATAATTTCTATGTCCATTTGGTTTATCTTTTAAAATAAATGCATACAATATGGTCAACTGTTGGTCTGTCTAGTAAGTGGGTACATCTGTTAATCTCTTTCTATTTGTTCATCACATAAAAGGAACAAAATAAATTTCACAGAATGTTGAATTTGCATTTTATTCAAATTACCAGGAACAGCTGCTAATACTAAAACTGAAGCAGCATAGTTTTGCCAGCTTAATTCTATTAACATTTCTTAAACATAGCATTACATGGAATCTTTCAAAGCTCAAAAATAAGAACTATTTCTCACTCATGCATTTTAAATACTCTGTCAAAGCAGAAAAGAATTGTCAAGAGCTTTAGATTTTCTAATTTAGAGAGCATCATAGTACCATTTTGTTTCCATTTTGGATGTTTATTATGGCACTTTTGCTTTTTCTTCAGTAAAACTTGAAATACTTAATAGATGTTTACAGTCACCTTGGCCAGTCTGATCTGAGTCATTGCCATGGAGTACCACAGGACTTCAATGAACATAAGAGATGGAATTCTGACTGTCTGACTTTCAAAACAAGCAGATGCTGTTTTCATGAGCACAATTTTGAAAAGTATTTACAGTAACAGCTTTGTGGATTAATGATGGAGTCTAGATCTCTATGTCTAGTATGATTTGTGTTATGCAATATGAAAAACAATATAATATGTAAGCTCCTCAAAGAATTATTCCCAACATCTTTATGAGACCTTTGAGGTCTTTCTACTATTAATTTACTCCAGAGTAAAACTGCTGTATCTCACCTGCCAATCTATCAAGCTTTAGCAGTCTGAACATCTATAATTTAGTGTCAGTTCAGTTTCTTATACTCTTACACATATACAACTTCATTTTCTAATCAAACACTCAGCATTTCCCATCCAGTATCCAGAGATGACAATGTGAGCCCACAATGTTTGTTGCTTGCTGAGGACAGCAAACACTCCAAAGTAAGGTCCTTCTTCATACCATAGACATTTAATTTGTTGTGAAATATAAGAGCTTTGCAAGTTAACAGAGGCCTGGTTCCCAGATCACAGTCCTTACCCCTCACACATATTCAGCAAGAAACATGATGGAGCTGACCAGACCAATTCCTACATCCTTCCTTTCATATTCAGGTTGTCATAAACCAACTGCTAAATCTGCTTGTTTTGAATTAACTTGTTTCCCTGTTTGGCAAAGCATGAAGATGGGGATACAGAGGTCACAGAATTAATGGAAAAGTCATTCAATAATTTCAAGGTAAAATGCAAGAACACGTAGGTTACTTAAGAGGCAGGGAAATGACAGCTCAATATTGTTGAGGGTTATTTTAGCATTTCGAAATTCTGGTTTGTAACTGTAGAAGAAAATGTGTACCTTATCCTCCTGGCAATCAAATTGGTAGGCAAGAAAGAAGAGAAACAAAACATTAAAAAAATCTGTCTGTGCTGCAGCTGCCCAACCTAAAAAGCAGAAGCTATCTGCAAACTGGCTGCTGGCCATCCCACAGGTCACCTTCCTATTTCCCTCATACTCACAGCCCCTGTAAAATCAACCCTTGCATCCCACCACTGCTGAGAACGTTATTGAAAGATTTACTAAGTATTTCTTTACAATGTTCTAAATACGACAGGAAAATGTGTTCTGTTTTCTTTGCAGTCAATCATTTAAAACAAGACTTACACATCATCTTCATGCACCACAGACTCCAAGCTTACTTAGGACAAATATAGACATAACAGCAAAGGAAAGATGACATATCTGTTCATTCCTTGCTGCAGTTATGAAACACAGGATAGCTCAGTTCAGTGGAAATTACTAGTTCCTTGATTTACATGATATCTTTTCAGGTTGAATGATTCTTATTTGCAAAGCTATTACTTCCCTAACTATGTCATCAGAGCTTTTTAAAAGATGTGCATTTCAGCCGTTGTTATCTACTCTTTTTTAAATAAAAGCACGTAGCACCTATCAAGCAATAATATGGAATTTACACATCTTCAGAGGTCATCTTTACAAAATGTTACTGACTTGCAATCATACAAATGTAGAACAAACTGTTCCTTTTGCTCAACTATTAATTTAAAGGAATTCCCTGAGAATTCCTTTCAACTTTCCAGTCCAAAGGCACTAGAGAAATTATACAGCCCTCAATGAGAATTATTTGTGCACTGTTAAAGGCGTCTGAGGAGATCAGACCTTTGGTACAGCCTGTACATGTTCACATGAGAGCTGGTAGAGCAACCCCAGACTGATTGATTAATACAAGCTCCTAATTCAGACTGCTGTGATTTGTGCACTAATAACGGACCAACAGATCACACTTAAAAAGGTTTTCCAACCCAGACTACTTTCTTCTGCCACTTCAAACAGGCTGTTAATAAATAAAGCACGTTAATGATGCAGGGTAACTCTCCTATCTGCTGAGTGTGACTTACCTTGGGCTGAATTGCCTCTTTCTGGCTCACAAGCTGCGACCTCAGGATGAGAACTTCTTCCTTGCGTACTTCCAGCTCCTCACTGACCGAGGTCAGCTGGTCCAGGAGGACTCTGTATGCTGGGGCACCAGGAGCAGTCACCTCTGGAGCTCGTGTCTCTGTCAGGGCCTTCTGCAGCTCATTCAACTCGTTCTTCAGTTTCTTATTCTCAGATTCAAGCTCTTGACGCTGTAAGAAACAAGGACAGTTCTGTCACCCAGCAGCACTGCAACATATCTGTAACCCACAGGTACAAAACCGTGGACAGAAATGGTAAAAATTATGTGCAGCTGCAAGAAATCAATCAATCTCCCCTGTATCCCTGGCCCCTTGACTGTGGCCAATAGTGGCTGGGAGGATTTCACTAACAGGACTAACCTTTTGTCTGAAATGCAAAACCAGAGACTCAGAGTCTCTGTGGTCCAGGTGACCCCGAGGTGTTGGGAAGTTTCTTTTTCCCAGCCCTGGGATCGAAGGAGGAGTCAGGATTCCTTGGCTCTGGTTTTCAAGGTTCTTTAGTCTCTGTTATCTAGAACATTCTTTCTCTGATCTGCTGAGGTCTGTCTAGCAAGTTGGTTTGTGGCACACTGACTGCGCTTGGGGCGGTGTTATCTTTTTATACTACAAACTACGTGTACTATATTTACAATAATTTTCCAATACCTATCACCTATGTTAGACAGTGAGTTTCTACTCTAAACCAATTCAAAAGTGCCACCATCACACAGAAGATGGAGGCTAGGAAGAAGAAAGAAGAAGGACAAGGCACGCCCAAATTCCTCCATCTTCGCTTCTGAACCCCCATTCTAAAAACCCCAAATTTTCCTTTTTCACCCTGTGACAAACTAACTATCATTCTACTTAAACTCTCATGGCTTGTAAATCTTCACATAAAGTTGGTAATTTTCTCCATGGGTTAAAAGCAAAGGCACAGGTGTCTTTGGCTTCGTGCCAGGGGCTCGAGCCCTCCAGGGCAGCCAGAGGGATGTCCTGGGTTCCCACACCAGAGCACACTCACATGAATCAGACAGATTTGATGGCAAACAGAATTGCCAAGCTTTTTTTCCTCTTATTCTCCTCTTAAGGGAAAAAAAAAGATCACAACAAATAGTAGTCAGCAGGCTAAGAAAATTCTGCATCACTATTAGGAAATATTTTTAGTTTTAGTGGTCTAAGGCAGTAATTTAAAGAATTATTTTGAAAAAGAAACTGACATTTATCACTGTATTTTTGCTCAAATTAACTTGCAAGCTGTACTAAGTCTTTTAGCAGAGAACTCCCCCTGGCTTAGGGAATCTTTTTGTTTTGCACCCCAGCCACACATTCTACACCTCAAAAAGAGCAGTCCTACAATGAAATGACTGCTGGGGAATATTTGTTCTAATTTCTCCAGCTACTATTTGGAAACAGGAGGGCTGATGTAATTTTCTATGCCAGCATATACTATTGGTGGCAAGAGTCCTACTAGAAAAAAGCCAGAAACCTCCATTTTAGAATTACCTTGAGTGACTCATACTCCAACTCTGCACCTCTTATGGGAGGCCTTTCTTCCTCCTATGAATGAATACAAACAAGTGTGAAAACTAAAAATCCTTCACTGAGGTAGGAAAACAAAAGAGAACTCTATTTTCCTTTAAAACAGTACAACATTCTGGTACAGCTAACTGCTGTAGTTTGAATATTGGCATTGTCTCCTTTACTTCTGTGTTTATGACACTTAATTGGTTAATATTAATAAAATCACATACTGTCACTGGCAACAAAACAAAACAGGATGAACCCCAGCATGCTAAAGAAATTCACTGGTAGAAATGAAACAGGAAACAATTGCCAAAACTGATTTCATAAATTTTCTAAGAACTTCTAAGAGACCAAATCAGGAGAATTTACACTACAATCAGCTAAGGTGTCTAAGCCCAGTGCATTGAACAATTCCCCATTCTCCCCATCATTAAAGTCAATTTCCTTATGGCTATTCCTTAATAAAAACAGCCTTTCAGCCTTTTTTTTTTTAAGCAAAGTCCCAAGCACTTTTTGTTTTGTCTTCCATGAAAGGATCTCAAGGACCTTGGAAAACAAAACAACCAGTCCCTAGAACTAAGCACCGGTATGAAACTCGTCATCAAACAAAGCAAGTGCTAGAGGAAGATAAAGATTTAGAGAAAGCCAGTCAGCATTCACAGAGCTACTGATTCACAAGAAGGGACACTGTGGTGTCAGCATTTGATCAGCTGCAAGGAGCCCACCTTAGCTTTAGCGCGGAGAGCCTGCTCCTCCTTTCTGTCCAGTTCATCCTGCAGGGACTGCTTTTCCTGCTCCAGTTCTGAAACCCGTTTCTGCAGCTTGAGGAACAGAGACATGTCCAGCGCTGCTTTTTTCTCACTAGGCTCCTGCTTCAGAAACAACAGAGGCAAGTCAAGAACTACTCCCCTTGCACAGCACAAGGAAGCACAACAGTGAGTAAAGATGGGAAACAGACTGGGAAAGAGAGGAACACAGATGTTACTTGATTCTGAGCATTGACTATCTAAAATATTTCATCTGCTATCAAATACTATTTTAAAAAAGGATTTACTAGTAGAAGATGTTTCTAAGCCTAAAGCCTAGCAAAAGAAAGCACTAGGCACTACCTAGCAGACAGGAGGTCTATAACCAAGCATACCTTATAGTCTTACTTGTTTGAAGGGGGGAAAGTAGAAAAAAGAAAAAGTTTATGGTTAGACTCACCTGGAAACAACTCTAAATAATGGCTTTTTTGTGTGTTGGTTTAGTTTTCAATGATTTCTTTAGCAAGTTTTTCAGCTAAAGAGAAATCTCCCTGGCAATTTGAAGGTTAATTTAGCGGGATGTGACACAAAAAATTGGTAACAGGAAACATATTTTATGCCTTTTTGCTTTTATTGTGCTAATTATACAGCCTGTTCTGAGCCTAATTCATCAGCTTCTTCACTATTCTCTGGGCAAGGATCAGTGTTTGCAATCTGAAGGTGCATTAGAAATTGTCCATCAGCCTTTTTGTACTTTATGTACTGAGAAGATCAAAGTATTTACCGTGAATTGTACCATAAAATTTTAAAGCCTATAAAAGGAACTAGCAAATTAATATAAATGACTGTAGCAGACAAGCAAGCACAGCCATTTCCACCTCATCTCCTTTTAGTGTTGAGGGGAAGAGTCATAAACCACACCAACAGCTCAGGCAAATGGAAAGAGACTTTTGAATTTTCTGGCTTTACTTGTTTGCCTTGAGGTGGGCCTGATTTTTTAATGTGGTTTCGTATAATTAATCTATATTGTTAGTTTAGAGTTGGAACTGGAGAATGCTGAGGGGTTAAACAAAAGAGTGCTGCATTTGTTCACACTCTTGTGTGAGTTCATTTCCTCATTCATATTCTAAAACCCAAAGCTGGCTCTGGAACAGCAATTCAGCAAATCTATCAGCCAAAGGAAAAGCTGGCATTTGGCTCATATGTGACATCCCATCACATGTAGTTGCACTGTCCTCCTCCTGATTACCCTTGAATGTAGGAGCATCATCCTGAAACCATTATGCAAGGTGAGAAACATAAGTGGGAGGGCAAATGATGACAGAGTGCACAGAGAGGCTGTGCCAGCCCCAGTGCGTCAGGATATCTGCATCCAGAGCAGAAAATCGTTCTCTGTGGGGGCTTTCCAAAGCAGCTCTGACAGCCTGTCAAAAGCTGCCCTGCAGATCCCTAGCCCAGGCAGAGGGCACCCAGGGTGTGCTCTGTGTTTGCAGCCCCACTGTGATGGGATGGAAGAGGGAGTTATCTTGGAAACTATTAGCAATGTCTTGGAGTTGCACCACAAATTATTTATGGTTATTATTCATTAGCTGAATCAAGTCATCTTTCTGGACATTTTTGAACGTCTTCCTGATCATTTTTCCAAACACTCTGGGATTTGTATTGCTGCATACGCAAAGCAAACTCCCATTCTGTGAGTTTGATTCCTCTCTGTGTAATACAGAAAACCTGATCCAACATGAGTTTCTCATGCCCAACAGGAAGCTCACTCCATGTAGCTACTAAGGATGCAGCTTGCCATTTCAAATCATTGACTATACAGTAGGCAGGCTCCTCAGGAAGTCTCACTGGTTCTCTGAATTCCTACTTTGGCCTGAATAAGTGACTGCGCTTACCAACACTGACAACCAAATGTTTCACAGATGTAAATCAGCTGGATCACCACGTACCTACTTTGTGCTTATTGTAATACAAGAAAAATTCAAAGCATACTTTGACAGTGTTTTTACACAGAATCATAACTAAGGAATAAGTGTTCTCTAAAAGGACACAAAGTTGGATTAAAGCTTTAGATATCTCAGTATAAGGATATGGTGTTCAGAAGCACTTATGGAAAAAGAAAAGAAAGGAATGAATTCAACCATGTACCAGTGAAAAGTTGTGGGGGATTTTCAACATTACCTCCATCCTGAGTGGTAAATCTTCTGCCTCTGTGATCTCAGAGCTGAAAGTGTATTCAGATTCATTGCTACTGTGAGTTGAATCCGTTCTTTTGTGCCCAGGCTTGGGGATGCTCTGAAGTGCAAGTGGAACAAATCAGTACCAGTACATGGCTTTCCCTGCCACTGTCTCTTCACAACCTTTAGTTCAGACTAGAATATTTGGTGTTATTTTCTTATTAATTTTGATAACTGAGACGTATTTTTTACTCTGGTCTCTCCAAAGACTTAAAGCCTGTGAGATACAGTTAGCACTCAGCTCCATGGAGACAGGTCAGATCCTATACCACCAAGGAGTGCTGCAGAAAGCAGAACCAAACAAGGATGCAACACTTTGTGGGAAAGAAACAGATTACAGGAAGCACAGGTAGCAACTTTTTTAACTTCCTAGACATTCTATTGAGGAATACTTTATATTTCTGCCACATAAACATTCCTAGGACTACTTAAAATTTATCACTGGATGAAGATGGCTCAAACAACCCCAGCAGATGTGAATAACTTGAGGGCAAAATAAGGGTGGACAGCACAAGTAATAGCACCAGGAAAGTCACAGCAGAAATTTAGCCTTCTTCACAGATGTGACAATTTTTTTTTAATCAACAACAAATTTTAAATGTACTTGTTTTGGCTGAACTAATCAAAATAAACAGGACTTAAAAGGACAAATTCTCCTTTCAAGTACAGGTCAACACATCAGCTGACAACACCAACTTATCCCACTAGTGTCACAGACATATTTTCTGAAAAATCCTTTCACTAGGATTTTTCTCCTGAGAAGCCTCAGAAAAGAGATGTAAACAATAACTGATGGCTGTGGAATGTGGTCTGGGGATGGTTTACCAACAGGTGCATCTTTGATTGGTCTCTTGTGGCTGTTTTTAACTAATGACCAATTCGCAGGTCCAGCTGTGTCAAGGCTGTGAACAGTCACAAGACTATTCATTCCTTTCTTTGCTAGCCTTCTAATGTCTCTTTGATCCTTCTTTAGTGGAGTTTTAGTATATAATTTTCTTTTAATATATGTCATAAAAATAATAAATCAGCCTTCTGACACATGGAGTCAAGATCCTCATCTCTTCCATTGCTGGGGTTGCCTGCAAATCCCACACCCTAGAGTCTGCCTGCACACAGGTGTGAACAGCCGTGGAGGCACTCACCACCATGAGGTTCATCTCGTCCTTGAGGTCGTCGTAGCGCTCCTCCAGGCGGCTGAACTCATTGAGCAGGTTCTGGTACCGCAGCCGCTCGTCGTTCAGATCCAGCTCCAGCTGCTTCGTCTCCTCCACCAGCTTCTTCTCCATCGACTCTGCCACACACAGAGGGATCCCAAGTGAGAATTCCAGCCCTTCCCACCATGCAGGGCACCCAGGCAGGAGGTACAGGCCTGTGTCTGCACCAGAGGCACAGCCTGCCATTGGAAGCTGCTGTTTGTGCTTCTCTGGGCAAACATTCAGCCAAAAATATGAAGGGCCAAAGCATTATTGTGGCAAGCACAGAAGTGCTCACTCAGCCAAGTTAGTTATTCTGCTAATATAGTCTGTAGATGATTCCAGAAGGAAGGAAGAAGGAGCACTAGCTCATTGCTGTGCTATGTTAAAGCAAAATGTGAGGTGCTTTACACCTCAAGCGTCCTGATCCTCCTCATCACAGCTCCCTTCATCACAGCCCTCACATCTAGAGTTAAGCTTTCCTGGCTGCTGCCTACACAGTCACAGCAGCCAGAAAAGTCACAGTGGATAAACTGAATTAAATATCAGAGCTGCCTTTTAAAAATTGAAGTGCTTTGGAACAGTCAGCCCCCCTAAAAAAGGCCCCGAACCCTTAGGATTTTGTGGAAATTTAAATGGTAAAGAATTCTGATGTTTGCAAGTTCTTAAAAAAAAGAAATGAACACACAAAAAGGAATGTAAACTAAGGTAAATTAACCCAATCCATGCAGTAGAGTGTTACTTTACCAGGTAGCATGAAGCAGAGAACCTGAATAAGAGAACAGAGCCAACCTGTTATTTCCCTGGCCTGGTCGTGGATGCGGCGGTTCAGCTCCTCCTTTTCTGTTTTCAGTAATGAGTTCTGCTCTTTCAGCTCTGACACCAGCTACAGAGATAATACAATATTTGACTCAGAACGCAGTTCATCTTTCATCAGTAGCTCTAACAACAATGGCATCTTTGCTGTAACGAAAGTTCAAATACTTAAACTGTTCTTCACAAAGTGGAACTGGTGAACTAACTTGTATCTTCATTTCCAAATCACATTTCTTAAATATGTACCACTGATGACACCCCAGTATGTTCTGAACGCCATTTCTGCTCAGATGCTAAAACGGCCCTGAAGCACTAACAGTGCCATGTATTTTTCAGTAAAGTCCTAAAGATGTAAATGGCTCATTAAACAGAAATATTCATAAAATAGTAACACATTTGGTAGTTCTATGGTAAATTCCATTGCATTGGGTAACAACAAAATTTACCAACTTGCCTGTGCCCCAAAGCTCTGTCACTTAACCTGTGTTCAGGTTTGCCAGGTACTCATTTGTCTCTGATTATGGTTACCATGCATTCACTTTGCCTTATCTATTAATATTTTCTCTTATGCTTATCTGATATTGAAACTTGTCACTGCAGCAACACATCATGATGGATTGGCTCTTCCAATACTCAAACTTGCACCACTATCAGCAAGTACTCCTGACAGAAATCAGCCTGTTTGATATGCTTGTGATTAGCAAAGAAAAGGGGTAAGCTGAAACCTGTTGAACTAGACTGTGCACAAGTGTTGAAGAGGCTGGCTGTCTACATTAGACAGGATATAGCAGCACCTTTGAATACTGAATGTGGGACAGATTTCTGCTATCTATGTTGTAGATAGAATGATACCTGCCTCTCTAGGCAGGTAAAATGAATGAATTCACTACCTCTAAGTCAGAAAGCTCAAGGATTTGGCTTTGCAAATTCTTTCAGTATCAAAATCTGAATAGATTGGATACATATATTTACATACAATACATGGATTTAGATGGATTTAGCATATATCTCTACCACAGGTGTAGCCATTTAGACACCAAGCCTATTTAGGATTGTACAGCTATAAAAACACAATAAAAAAACTAGCCACACAAGTGAGAAAATCAAGCCTGGGCAAGACCTGAGTGGGCACTGCAAATCCTCTCATGCATCTGGGACCCCATACATGCCTGCTCAGTCTCATGTTTGTATTTGTCTGCGCGCTCCTCAATGCTCTTCTTCTCGGCCTGCGTGTGGTGCAGCTCCGTGCGGAGCTTGGCGATCTCCTCCTGCAGGCTGAGCACGCGGCTCGTGGCGCTCCGGGCCTCCTCCTCGCTCAGCCGCAGCCTCTCCACGTCCCCGCGCAGCTTCTCCGTCTCCGTCGTGTACGTCACCTCCAGGGCGGTCATCTTCTCCAGCAGGGATTTGTACTCTTTGTTCTGTGCAAAACACCACGCAGGCAGAGCAGCTGTTAGAGAGGTTCTGGTTCGAGGGAGCCTTTTCCTTCCCTACACAATACACCCGGACGTGGGAGCACAGGAGCAGCTTCCCCATTTCAAAAAGGTTTTGCAGAATTGCTTAACGAGGTGACAGAGCAGTCCAGTCTCTAAGCCTGCACATCCTAAACTAAAATCAGATGGAGAGCCCACATACAGACAGGATCACCCCACCTCCCCCCAACACAGAGCAACTGACGTGCTTCAAACGCAGCACTGGCGTTAAGCGAGTGGGAGTTTTTCTCAGTTCTGCTGAGAGGAACAAGTGGATGTTTGACTGCTCCAGTTCTGCTGTGGCCTCCCCTTCTCTCCTCTCCTATCACTATTCTTCATCAGAAAAGAGAACTGAGCCCTTACAATGAAAATTCAGGGCACTCTGTGAATGCCCACAGCACTGAGAAGGCTAACCACAACTCTGACAGGTGTTCCCAGAGGCTGTGAGCTTTTACCTGCTCATCGATTTTCCTCTGCAGCTGCATGATCTTGTTCTCCAGGCCAATGTGGAGCTTCTTGTAGCGCTCCACGGAGCGGGCCTCTATCTTGAGCTTCTTGAGCTCCCTCTTGGCCATCATGCGGCGGTAGCAGCACTGCAGGTAGACGATGGCGCGCAGCGTGCGGCCGTAGCGCCGCCGCGCCAGCCAGCCCCGCACGTGCTTCTGGATGACCACGGACTTGTGCTCCCGCAGCATCTGCGGGGGAAAACACATGGGAAACATGGGGTGAGAGCTGCAAACTGCACCTGTGCAGTATGTGCAGTACACAGAGCCCCCTCTAACGATGGACACTGACACACCTTCGCCTGCAAAGACAAACTTCTGGGGAAGAGCAGCGAGAAATGGAGTCACTTCAAATTAAAAATAAAAGAAGAGGGAAAGAAGATTGGAACAAGGACAACAACAAGGAGTAAAAAGAACAGGAACCCTTTTCTTTTCAAAACATGACAAAAGAGAACTGGAGGCACATGGAACGACTGGAAGAACATGAGAAAAACATGACAAAAAGAACTGGAGGCACATGGAAGTACCAGGCATTCCTTTGTGCTGAGGTCAGAGCTCAGCTAATTGCAAAAGTATATAGTACCTGTTGGCAAGATTACAAACACAATATTTTTTTTAAACTGCATCTTTATCTTGAAACACTTTAGAATCGTTGACATATGCTGCATAGAGTTCATCAATACAAAGTTTAAAACTACCACATTTGATATGCAATGCATTCAGTCCTGCATTTCCCAGAAGAAATTGTAGCAGCTGGTAAGAAGTCAGAAGCTTTTGGTTTGTTTGTGTTATTTTGTTTTGGGGGTTTTTTGTTCCCTTTTTTGACATATCTTAGGCTTGCCAGCCTGGAAAAAATGTCATCTATTCTAATAAGAAATTTATAGCGTAGTAATTTGAATTTATTTTATGGCAGAAATTTCAACCATAGTTTTGAGGTGTAAAAAAAAAAAATCCATATTATTTAAAAAAAATAAATCTGTAACATAAACCAGTCATGTGTGTTAGCCAGAGAGTTCAGCTTAGAAGAGTCTACCACTTGATTTTGGATCCTTCACCCACTAATTCAATCACAGATTGCCCTGGTCTGGAACTCCGGAATTCAAAGAAATTACATGAGATATGCATGGAGAGCCTGCCCAAATCCACAAGGCTTCCAGTACCCTGAGAGCTTTAGAGTTCACTTAATAAAGCTTCTGCAAATAAAACAGTTTATTCTAAAGAACAAAATTATTTAGGGTTTCATGTTAATGCTCAGAATTGATAGTTTAAATATCATAGGCAGTTCACATTCTTACACTGATTTACCACAAAGCTGATAAGAAACTAGTCAGGTAACAGTAATTTTATTTTCTTTCAGATTGCTTAACAAATGAACTGAAATGTGTTAGAAGAATTACAGTTCCAGATCAATAAATTTAAAATTCACTGGCAAAGTGGCAAGACTATAATACATAGGAACTTTCTCCCTTAGCATTTATTTCTGAATTAAAAATGAGACTGGAAATCCCAGCACTCAGTTGCTCAGCACACCATGGTAAGGAAGCAGCTCTCTGAAAAGCACAGCAAGGTCAAAAGCCAAAGTCCTCCTGACTGCATGTCATGCAGTTGGCATTCCTGCCTCCTCCTTACACACTTTCTGGAACACTCCTTCAGGTTCCCAGCAGGTGCCTGAACACCAGAATACAACTAGCTTTCAACAATGTTCACCTCCTAAGTTTGAAAGCAACAATTTTCACCTGGAGTTTGAAAGCAACAAGCCCTGTAAAATACCTCCATGGTGCGGGGATGGTCCTCATCCGCCAGGGAATTCTTGCATCCATGCACTCCAGGGAGGAAACAAGCCACTCCAAAGTACAGTGAGAGTATCAGCAAAGTTACTTCATCTACCAGCTATATCCCAGGAAAGCTTGTGTCAAAGCTAAGGAGGAACTAGACTCCTTGTCCAGCTGAGAAGCACACTGCTATGTCTCAGGCAGGAGCTTTCCCCAGGATGTGTGAAACAGATGATTCAACCATATTAAATTCCTTGTTCTGCCCACGTGACTCAAGACATGCCCTCTCTTCCTACAACAACAACAGGTGCCTTTCACAATCCTAGGGATCAGCACGTGTCCCACACATTACTGCAGCCAGGGCCCAGGGCTCACAGGGCAACCTTTCAGTTTCACTCTTCTGCAATCATCAACTCCACAACAACTGTGTTTACCTTCCCACGGCACCCAGAGCCTGTGCTTCCCTCTCTGGCCATCCTGCACCTCAGCCTGGGTAAGATCCCACCTTGGGAGGACAGGACAAACACAGCACACCGCAGGGGCACTGTCAGGCTGTCATGTTTTACTGCAGAGAACAATTCACAGCTCGAGGGGGATGCTCCTGACAGGCAGGTCTGACCACCCCTTCCAGGGACTCCTCCAGAAACCTGCCATCTCCATTAGGAGGGAATATAACAGGTTTATTAAACTGTGCTGCAAGACAGATGGGCTGTGTGTTACTCATGTGACTAACAAGGCATAGGGAAACAACTCCCATCCTCCTGAAGATTTCAGGCCACCTACTGCTGTGACCCAGGTGCCACTTTATCTGTCAGACCACTGCTAAAAACACATCTTGCTTAACATCACAAATATAGTCTGTAATAACAAGAATGCTAAGAGTTCCAACAAAAAGGAAATTGGGTATCCACATAAAAGAACAGCCAAGTCAACCACAAGGGTCTTACTACTAAGAAATTCTTATCAAGGTTTATTTTTCTTTTAACATTGTGGTTAGTTTATGTTAGAATGCTACACATGTGACTGTGTAGCAAGTTTAATACAAATGAAAAGTATTAAGAATCTTCAAATATAAAAGAGAAAATTATGGTATATAAGCATCAGATGGCTTTTGGCTGCACACCTTTAACATTTACATGCTTGGGAAAACAAATCCCTTGGCTACTTTTTCAGTGAAATACAGGCTGACTTTTGAGCCTGGTTAAAACTGTTCTTGTAGATAAAAGTGCTATGAAACATGTCAGCACTTTGCAGTTTGAATCATAATTCTGTTTCCAGCCCTGCAACCATAAAAACCAAATTCTAATTTCTCAATTGAATAATTTATTATCAAGCATATTCAGGAAAATATTACCAATATTGCTAGGATGGGGTTATATCAATTTATCCCCACATCAAAACCAACATACATTAAAAAACTAAAACAAAACCACTCCACTCATGGATAACTTTCAATATCCAATTTTTGTGGGAATCTCTTTGCTAACATAATTCCATAAGCCATTTCAGAATCACTGAAACTAGGGAGGGGAAAGGACCAGTAGTGAGTGCATCACATGTATACTGATGTAAGCAATTCTGATTTGGACTGAGACAGATTCAGGCAAGGCCATTTTCAGTATTTATTTTAAGTGCCTCAGCATTCTATATAACAAGTGAAAAAGTCAGAAATGCTGTAAATTCTCCACTGGCTGCACTGAAAGTGTAAGTACATCTGTATTAGATGACAATGAGAATATGTCTACAATGACAAGTTGATGGCAGTATTAGATATTTCAAATTTCCAGGTGCTGTCCCTTAATCCATGCTCTGTTATTTTGTCTGTGCATCACACAAAACCTGCCAGCATCCACACAAAACATTTCAGATTCCCAAGATGACAGCACAGAGAAGCTTTGTCCTGAAAGTGTGTGGAAATAAAGGTAGAGTGAAGAAGTGCATTGTGATTTCTTACCATCTGGTACTTGTTTCTGACCATGTAGCCTCTCAGGAGGGCCTGGAGAGCAATAGTGGCATCTCGCATGCACTGGTATCTCTTGCGGACCACGTACATGCGCTGGAACTTCTGGATGGTGATGGCAGCTCGTGTTCTCCTCAGGAACTTGGCATAGCTGGGGAAAAGATCACAAACAGCACCTGTAATTATGTGATTGAATGCTTGGGGGTTTTTAACAGCCTGTATATTTAGTTTCTTCTTAGTGTTGTCAGTGACACAGTACATTTACTTGCTGTGTACAACAGAATGACAAATTAACAGAAACCTTGCAACGCTTTACAGGGAAATGTTTTCACTTCCCCTAAGAACTCTACTAAACAACTGACAAGGTAAACTCAGCTTAATTTCTCATCTCCTCTTCTCCAACTTTAAAGCTGTTTTCACTATGTCATCTTCCAGATCTACTCTCCCAACCTCCACTACTAGAAAATGTTTGCTTGTTCTTGGCTATTGCAGTAAGACAATTACAGAGCATCATGACATATGCCTCTTTCTGAATGTTGGTTATTACAGCCTTCATCACCACCCTGTCTTTGAACAATTCCGCTTGTACTCCTGCCCTTCTCTCTGGCCCCATGGCCATCCCTCAGAAGTCAGTCCAAACAAGTCACTGACTGATGAATGTCCCTTTACAGCTGCACCCTGGGTGAGGAATGGCTTCTCCAGCAGGACAGACCCAGCTGGGAGGGCACACGGAAACTGGGCAATAAGGACTCAGACAGTCCTGCTTTACCTCACCTGCAACATATCTCCTTAGTACTACTTATTCTGCATCACAGAGCCAGGGTGCTACTGTCCTCTCAGAAAGGTAAAAACCAGTCAGGACAGACACACTCATTATACTCAATTTCCTCCATTGCCCTGGAAATTTATTTCCTCTCAGGCAGCACAGGACGGCAAGAACAGATGCATCACATTTAAATGCCCTGCTTACAGGGCTCTGGACTGGTGCTGGTGTGGCACTTGCCCTGAGCAGTGCTTACCATCGTGCCTGGTACCCTCTGATGTGTCTCTGGATGGTGATGGCAGCCTTCCTCATCCGCATGTACTTCTTCCTCATCAGCCAGCCCCGGATCGTCTTTTGGATGCGGATACAGGCAGCTCTCAACTTATCTGCCCTTATTTTTTCCAGGTAGGCTACTTGACCAGCCCGGAAAAATATTTTTGTCTTCCCAAACTGGTACTTATCCTTGTCCTATTTTCAAAGGTAAAAAGAGGATAAAGTTACAGCATTAAGTGTTAGTGCATAAAAAAAGGCATGAAGGGCTAAATGAAAGCACAGTTAGTAAAGAGGCAAAATTATCTGTGTAGTATTTTGGGTAATCTGAGACTTAAATTAAGTAGTGGAGAAGGGTATTTTCTCTGTATGATTCTGTTAAAAATTAATATAATAAGGCCACAAGCATGGCCCAAAGGGGCAATGTGAGATTTTTGCTTAGATGATAATGCCATAAAGATAATAACATGGAACACTACAGGAGGTGACAAAGGGGCCCAGAGGATGAAAGCAATACAGGCAGTGCACATGTACAATTTTCTGTTTAAATTGTAGCTGACCCCTCTGAAAGGTCCATCCTCAACCACATTACACAGTGCAAACAAGGCAGCTGGGGCTTCAGACATATACAAATCACTCATCGTATCAGGACTAGGGCAGAACAAAGCATGCTGCTGCTCAAACACATCTGAAATTTCAGAACTGAACCAGAAAGAGAATAATATTTTATGTCTATTGGGTGTAGTACTCCTTTGAGGGAAAAACAGAATATACAAAGGCACACTGAAAAAAAAATTATTTTAATTTTGTTGGCTGTTTGATTCTAAGTTGAAAGGAACAGCAGTCAAAGAGCTGTAGGATACATTTGTGGTTTAGTATCTTGTAAAGGTACTAAAATAGTGTGGCTATGAGGGAGTCAGTGACACTGTCTCTATTCCTGCAGATTGCAAGTGCTCTCAGCACCAAGTCCAGTACCTGAATCAGCTTCTCCAGGACATTTTTACACGTCTGCTTTCGGTCACCAAGGACATCCCTCTGCTTCATCAGAACCCGGTAACGGCTGAAGAACTCCTGGTACGTCCACCTGTCCGAAAGCAGAGCACCAGTGCCAACAATGAACATCACCCTAAAAAGAACTGCAGCAGGAAGCAAGGCAGAGAGAGCAGACACACCTGGAGGGGAAGCCAGCAGCACTGATCCGGATGGTCTCCAGCACACCACAGGCTCTCAGCTGCTGCACCGCCCGCTTCTCATCAAACCTAGGGAGGAACACAAGGTGAGCTTGTGGGATGGGCTGGGCTTGCATTGTCTGGGGGTCCTGGTTGTGCGCACACCCAGGAGAGAAGTGGCACAGTGAGGAGCAGGGGGGGTTGTAAGGTGCTCCTGAAACTCAGGGGTGACAGAGGACAGCCTGAGCCCACTGGCACTTCCTGCTGGCCAGCACAAGAGGTACAGGAGCCTTGGTGTGCCTGGGCTTTGAGAAAAAATCTAAGCAAGTTCATATATGGGAAAAAAAAAAGGCTTTGGAATCTGAAAAAGCAAATTCCAGCTCAAGGAGTGCAAACCCCAGTTACATTTGAAATTGCTAGCAATGAAAATGTTGGAACTTTTTTCTTATGTATCACCATAAACAAAAAAATGGCATCAGGAAGCATTTCTCCCTCTATTCATCCCCAAACATCTCCTGCTGTAATATACACACACAGTGAATCCATAACCAGAGAAAGGAGACACAGCTCTTCACTCCTGAGTGAGCAAGGTTCAGCAGAGCCTTGATCCTCACTGGCCTCGGGCAATCCCTCCCAACAGGGGCTCCCCAAACCCCACAGGAACTGCATCTTACGTGAATGGGAACTTGAAGTCGTTTGGCTTAATGCAGCGCACATAGTGTGGGGTTGTAGCATTCAGGGTTTCCATCAGCAGATGAAGAGAGTTTCGAAACTTTTTGAAAAAGAAAATGAAAAAAAAAAGTCAGGGAATAGCCTCAACAAGCTCAGTCATTTTTCAGATAACCTCAGAAAACAGACCAGATTTGCATACTTGTAATTTAATTATGGCAAAGATATTTTATGTTTGGCCACTGATGACTGGAATCAAGTTTTCTGGGGATTGAACCCCACTTTGGATTTGAATCAGACAAAGTGGCACATGATCCAAAAAACCCAGTTTAAGATTTTCTAAAATTCTCAGCATCCACGTTAAATTTGTTTTGAAAAGCATCAGTTTGGGGTTTGGCATCATAATAAAAAATGGATAAAAAATAATTTAAAAAAATTAATAAAAATAATAAAAATAAATCCCTCACAGTGCATTGGTAATTGAGGACTATTTGCACCTAGCTGTAAGTCACAATAAGCTGGACCTCTCTCAAAATCACAAGGGATCCCACAAGCCACCAGTACACTTTGAGACATATGAGACAGGAGGTGATGGGAGACATTTTCTAACAGAGCTGCATCTTCAAACTCACCTGGTGTCCCACAGTTTTCTTGTGCTCCTTGCTGGCTTGGCCTGGCCTGGCCTTGGCAGGTTTGACAGGCATTCGAGTCAGAGGCACGCGCCCTGAAGGGGCTGCTGAAGTGGGGCTGAGCACCTTCTCCTCATCCTGGAACAACTCTGGCAGCAGCTTAAACTGGTGCAACAGCATAAAAAACACACACAGGGTAAGAACCCAGCAAGCAATTGTACCTGTTTATGCTTAAGGTTAAATTCCAGGCTCGGCTTTTGTAAGAACTGCATTTTTGGTGAACTTCACAGGGGACAAATGCAAAAAGCAGACATGCTAAATGGTATAGTGAGTGGGCCATGATTTAACACCAAAACTTTTGTGGGTTTGATCAGTGAGTCTCCTTCTCAAGATAAAATTCTGATTTTTTTTTCATATAGCCAACAACAGCCATGTGAAACTGTTAGATACCAACAGCAGTTTCCTAAGTACCAGCTGCAATTATAAACAGCTGCTTTGATCTAAGAAGGAAATGACAGGGTCCTCCCATATTCCAATGGTGCATCAGTCTCCTTTGTAGTTGAGAGGTATCTGGGACACTGAATAAAGCAGCAGGCAGCAAAGATTATTCCTGCTTTATCACTCCAAATTGAAATAATCAGCTTAACAGAGGAAACATCAACTGAAAAAACCCCCACTAGCCAAATTTATCTGACTGAGATCTACTCCCTGCCACTCGGAGTGGAAGAAAAACCTGAAATGTCCTTCCAAATACCACACAGGACTTCTGCTTCCCCTTCTCTAATGGCTACAAAATATACTGGATACATAACAGCTGCTTTGAAGCAACTTATAACTAAATATAACACCTCCAGGTCTTTCCACTGACAACTACAGCTCTTCACAACCATTATAGGAGAATCTGAACCTCTCTACCTGTCCATGAATAATTTTATATCTAGCATCTGTGCCTTTTTCCCCAAGAGACAGGAACATTCATTTTTCAGTACTAGAAAGCACTTGGGCCAAGCACAACCTAAAAAATTAAAAAATTGGTTTTGTCTTATAAAACTTGGTGAGCAGACAATAACCAATGGAACACAGTGCACAACAAAATGGCACCTGTGCCCTGTGGTTGTGCCAGAGGGGCTGGAAAAGGGCAAGAAATGTTCCCCAGCAGCACTCCAGCATAACGAAGTGACTAAGGATGATACAACGGTACCCTGAACTCCTGAACTCAGAAGGGAGTATTGATCTCCTTGGACAGATCTCACCTGAGCTGGTGGAAGAAGGACATTTCCTGAGGGTGATTTACTCTTCTCTTTGCACTGATTCAGAGCTGAGGATGGTTGGGGTAGCACCTCCCTGTCAGCTGCCTGTGGCACAGTGAGTTGGTGTGCACAGGCAGCTGAGCTACAGAGCCAGGTGTTCCCAGCCTGTACAGGAACTTATTTGAATATAATGCGATTCTCTGAAGCTCCTGATGTTCCCACACACCAGAGGTGGGGGTAGGAACAGAGTTCCCACTGTCTCAACTGCAGATGGATGAGTTCTTCTAAGCTGTCCATACCTGAGGCTCATTCTCTTTCTCCAGCCCTGGGAAAATCTGCCTGTGAAAATGGGCAAGCGCATCTCAAAGGCACCATTTTCACACACACTGGCCCAGTTACTCCAAGTAGAAAAAAGGAACAATGTCTGGCCTCTCCAGCACAGGTCAGCAATAGTGGAGCAGTGCTGCAAGGATCCAAACTGCAGGACCACTCCTGTTTGGTTTGGGGTTTGGTATCTCATCAATTTCCTTTGTTTCTCAGAACACTAGGAGTGTTCAAAGAGAGGGAAACACTGATCAAAGGGTAGATAATTCACGTGACAGAAAACAAGCAAGGAAGCATTTCTTCCCTGTGATTTTTTCAGGCAACCCAACACACATGCTGCTAACAACCTTACAGATAATTTCTTTCAATACAGAGCCTCAACAGAACATTCTAACAACCATGCCAGCAGCAAGCATAAACGCCCAGGATTGTTGTGTTGCTTTCATGATACATGCATGGAAACTGAACTAGTTCACAGAGGTTCTGTGGGTGGATTTACAGAGAAAGCCAAAATAAAGAGTTGAACTCCACAGTCCCTGCCAAGAGCAGAGTGTGTCATGCACTTTGGAGAGCAAAGAAGCATCCAAGCTGTGTGGGAGAGTGGGCATGGGCAGGATGACAGATGATGCATTCAATTTAGAATTACCTTCTGTTGGATGTGCACAGCAAACCCAGAAAACATCACCACCAACAAAATGAAATAAAAATCAGAAATGCAGTTCTACTACAATTACTAACAAGGAGGAGAAGATGAAAAATGAAAATAAAACATTGTTTACACTGGTTTTGGCAAAATGGGGTAAAACCATGTTTTTTTAGTGTTTAGATTGAACTGCCTCAAGCTACACTGAGCCTGCTGAAGCTGCTGTCAGGCTCTTACAGCAGCTCTGTCCCCCCTGGCTGTCACCCCATGGAGCACCCTGTCCCTCTGTCCTGCACAGAGGGGCCTCTGCCAGCTCCTCAGAGATGCCACTTGCCTCCCCCTCCACCCCCAGAAACTGGCTTCACTTAAACCACTTCAATACTGCTGCCAGTGGAAAGTCTGCTGTGGTGTTTCATTATTCTACATGTTTTAATCATTTACCTTCATATTATCTGCTCAGAATAGAAACAGAAGAGAAAAATGCTGGTTTTCCTGATAGAATAGCACAATTTTAAATAGCCTGTCCTTGATACCCAGCTTCCTGGGCCATCAGAGCTAGCAAATTCCCAACAGCCACCACTGTGCAATGTCAAGTTAATTGCCTTCACATTTCTGAGAGCACAACCAGCAATTCTGCCATTACCAAACACAGACAGTGCCACTGAAGGCCTGTTCTATAATATTCCTTCATGCAGTATTTTTCAATTCAGAAGTTACCTTTCTTTCATAGATATCAAGGAGACAAGATAGTAAGTTCTGGTTTGTGTCCTTATGGTCTTTATATTTTATTCCTCTCTCATTTTGAACTTGTCTGTCCTTCAGAAATTTTCTGTCATGCCATAAACAATGAGCTTCTGTTTTCAGGTTATAAAATTAAGGGCTTAACTGTTAAGCCTTCTTATACCACTATGGTACATCAGACCTCACTGACATCTCTACAGAAAATATAGCTAAGTTTTGTGAAAGAAAAACAAACCCTCCCCAAATCCCCTTTCCCCCACTCAAAAACCCAAACCCAACAAAATAGCCCCCAAAAGAACAACAACAACGACCCACAAACAGTGAAATTAGTGGCTAAATACACTGCTCTTACATGGAAAACAGTTAGAATATAGGACTTTCTAAATTCACGCAGATAACCAAGTAAAACACAAACTATGTTCAATTTCAGTTGATCTGATACTAAGGGAGAAATATCTCCTAGGTTTATAAGAAGTTTTCTATGACCCTTAATTCAAGGACTCTTAATGGCAAAAGAAAAAAAAAATCCTTATACTGACCTTACTTGATTTTAGGACCCTAATTTGTTCTTCATAAACTGTGTCTTTATTCTTTTCCAAAAAGCCTTCACATTGATACTCCACCTGAAAGCCATAATTTTACAAGAGAAAGTATTAGAAGTAATAAATAATAATAATTTGCATAGAATTCACCAGCTATGACATTCACATGTAAAACATAATTCTTTTAAATACTGAAAATATCAGCTCCCAAGTGCCTCTGTGTTAAATACAGATTTTCCTCAAAGAGAGTGCTTTCCAGTAAAACACAGAACATTAAAATAGAGAGAGGAGTACTGCTGTTGCATTATACCAGGCATATCTCACTGCTGAGAGATGCTCATGGCCAGGCAGCATGACTGAATGGTTCCTGTAAGGGTGAACAATCCAAGTGTGTGCTGAGCATCTCTTTCCCTGAGCCCATCAGGGCTGCAGAGCTGTCTGAAATCCAGAGGCAACTGAGAACAAAGTACCTCTCATCTCATTAGCTGAGAAGCAGTAAGTACATCTGCCTGCAGATTATAGTGGAAATGGCTCATTTGTGCTCCAAAGGACTCCTTTTACCAGCAGCAATAAAATGGCTGAATGTTGTGACGACACATAACAACCCTCTGTCACAGGGCTACAGCGTTTCCTGGACCACAGAACAGTCACTGTCAGATAAAAACCTACCATTTATTTTGCTGCCCTAATTCAAGGCTGAAAGAAAACCAAACTTACTGTCAAAAGTCCATTTATCAGTGCTTGCACAGCGACACTACACCCTGAGCTGCAAAACATTTCAAGGAATTCCTAGAGGGAAGAGGACAGAGGATGTCCCCAGGGTTTCTGCACAGCTGGAGGCCCACCCTGAGCAGTTCCTGGGGCTCCATCCATGGTTTTCCTGTGGGAGGCCATGCCAGGAGAGGGCAGCAGCATCCCTGCCTTGTCCAGGAGCACAGCTCAGCACTCATCTCTGACCTGCCAGCTGGGGCTTGGCTTCTCCTCCAAGATGTCTGTGTGCATTCAATCAGCACACAGCAAACATAAAACACCTAGCACAGACAGCAGGGCAGAGCTTAGAGCTTTGCTAGTACCTGCTTGGAGCTGCTTTCTGCTTTCCTTGGCCCTTGCTGCTCACAGACTGGACACGGGAAAGCCTTGCTTTTGAATATTAAATAATTCCTTCTTGTTCTCTCATTCACAAAATAGAACAGACCTCACAAACCAAAACAGTTACAGAGATGTTCTTGGTGCTTTCATTAAGGTAACACTAAATGCAAAAAGAATAGAACCCTTCTTCTACACATAAATTCAAGAGCCTGGGAGAAACCTAGTGGAGGCAGAGAAAGGCCTCCAACCTCCCCTGTGCAGACCTACTGGTAAGACTCTGAGAGCTTCTTGAAAACCTTTTTGACAAAGCTGACAATATTTTCAGGCAGCTTATTTGTATAACAGGACAACTGTATTACATGGGATTATGAATTTTTTTGTTGTTTTAACCTGAGGAGTGGCTCAGTTTGAGGAGCACTGGGAGCTGAACAAGGCATGCACTCCACTGAGACCCCTCTCAGCCAGCTTCCTAGAAATAGCTGTTCCCTGCACAGCCCAGGAGCAGCACACACTGCTCCAGCAATAGAAAAGGCTCTGTTAGCCTCTCTCCTCTTTGCACATTGAGATGGCAGCAAAAACTGCATTAATTCATTGCTGCTCTTTAGCTAAAAGGAGTGGGGTACAGGATTTCCTTTTTTGTACATTTCTGTTGCATAACTGGGACTGACACAGTGATGCTGAGAGCTGTAAATGCACTGAGCTCCCATGTTTGGAAAGAGGATGGGCAGTGCTTGGAGCATGTGATGGAGTCAGGAGCTCCTGTGTGTGCCTGCACAGCTGCCAGCTCACCTTCCCCTCCTCATGGGGCGTTGGGGCAGCAAGAGCTGAGCAGAGCCAGGGATGGCACTGCCCAGTCTCTGCCTGCAGCAGCCCCAGGATGCCCTCCCACACACCAGCAGGAGAGCAGCACTGCCAGAACATCCTTACCTTGTCAGCAAAGTGCTTGATGATAAAGGCCTTGTTTGACATACGTGGCTTTTCAAAGAGAGCACATTTATTCAAATGAGTATTGTAAAGTTTTTGGGCCCAAGAGTCGTCTGAGCCTTTTGGCATCTACGGAAAAGAATACAGAATACACATAACATGTCTTGAGAACTTTTCAGCAGCAAAAGCATCTAAGATGGGGGACAACACTTGATGATTTCCTTTCCCATTCCAGCTCCTCGGATTCCCAGCACTGCCAGAAGCAAGGACACAGTAACCAGCTGTGTGCTTGCCATTTCCACACTGGGCACTGCAGCAGGTGGGACAGCTGCTGGGGCACACCTGGCACCAACCATGCCTCCAGTGTCACACACCTGAAGGCAGAGACCCCAAAGGCACATCACCAGACTGAGCAGAACTCATCCACCTCCATTAGAGATTTCTTGTGATAAATAAGAACCCCAAGATGGGTTTCCACTGAGGCAGACACACTCTGAGCTGTACGTGGCTTGGCATAAAATAAACCAAGATAAAAGACAAAGGGTGAAACACTAACCAAGAGGCAATTTGGAGAAATCTGACAGGACCAAGGACTGCACTCACTTATCCTCAGGGAAGGGAAAACTGTCCAAGTTCAAACAAAGTTGATCAGAGATCCAGGAGCAGCTACAGATACATGATGGAGGGGAAGGAGTGGGGAGTTCATTACTGAAATCATTTCTTCTCCTCCCGTAATTGCCAGTTCTGTTTGTTTGCTTCCCAAATTCTTGCCCCATCAGTGCCAAAATGACAACTGTCTGCAGGTGACCTGTCCTGTGAGGCCCAGAAGCAGGACAGCTGATGACTCTCCCTCTGTGAAAGCCCTTGAACACACACCTTGCACTCCTCATCCAACAGATCCAGAACTCCCATTTTGGCCTCTATGAGGTTGATGCAAGGCTGATTGTCATAGAAATCAATCAAGGTCCATGGTATTTGTTCCTTCATATATTCTTCTTGTTCCAGCTTAAAGACATGCTGCAGGGCAAAAGGAAAACAGTTTTCTGTGAAATGAAATGCAGAATAAATACATTGAATTCTCAACTGGATTCATCTTGGCACATTAATCCAGGCTGTCAAGTGACACACTAGTTCAACTGAATAAACTCTTTACCAAGTGTATGAAAAATAAATTAATCTTTTTTTCTGGCCTAAAAACAACAGTCCAAACTAAAGCACTCCATATTCTCTGCAAATATCCTACCTATCACTATTACTATAAGTTATTTTCTCTTATAAAAACCAACACAAAACTTAAAGTGCTGGAACAGCAACCTATGAAGTGAGATGTGCAATGCTTTTATGATTTGGAAATTATGAACACTGCTCTATTTCAAGCAAAGTTTCACTATAAATACTTTTGTGTTTCCTTATAAAATAACAGAGCTTTATTTCCTCTTAAATGGCTGCTGATTTTTTTTCTAACATGAGACACTTCATTAAAATTTACTCTTCAGCAAAAGAAGCATTAGAACTGAAGGAGCATTAGAACTAGAAATCCTTTAAGGAAAATTCTGTGACAGATTTATCTGGTATGAAGATCAGTAACCATGTAGTATTTATTCAAAAATATTATCACAAACAACCTGCACAGCTTTAATGAAACATGCATAAGAGATGAATTAAAACTTCAGGAAAAAACAGAATAAGATATTAAACAGGCAAACTGTGGTCTTAATAGAACAAGCACTTTGAAAAACCAAAGAAGACTGCTGACTCCAGTTATTTTTGATGATGTTTCATCCCCCACCTACATTTTTCTGCACACTGAGTGCTGCTGTGGCAGGTGAACGTGTGCTGGGAGTGCCCCCAGCAGCATGGGCAGGGTCTGGGGGTGCCACAACCCTGAACTGGGGTGCCAGCCCCAGCTGCCCCGAGCTCAGTGCACAGCCCACAAACCCTCACAGCTCCCCAGTCTGTCTGCAAGGCCGCAGAAAGCTACCCTGACAAAGCTGTTTATGCCTTTATTCCATTAGCTTAACGCCATCCTCCCCAGCACTGCGCTCCTGAACCGCGCCCGTGGGAGCCATTCCCACCCTGCACCTGGCAGCAAAGCCCTGGCAGCACTCTACTGCCAAGATCCAACACCAGATGTGCAAGGAAACAGAAACCCGTTTTTTCACTGTGAAGGAACCAGCAATTAGGTGGTGAGAAACGCCATCAGACCTGATTTTCCCTGTGGGCAGTGGGCACCAGGCAGGGCAGGGTGGTCGGGCAGTTCCCAAATGGCCTCTCCTCAGCCAGGCTCAGGCTGCTCCAGGCAGCCACAAGGTTTTAATTCAAAGCAACCTCCCCCTGTGGGCCTGCATGGCTGCCCCACAGGTCCATGTTCACCAGCACCAGGTTTGGGAGCTTGGCAAGCACCAACACAACAGCCCTGTCACCCCCTCCTTCATGAGGCAGGTGCTTACAGCAATGGCATGAGAGGGAAGGGGACAGGGGCACTGCTATCTTCACTGAAGAAGAGAACCATTAGAGCTCCTACAGCAATTAGATTTTGCAGTAAGCTGAGAAAACTCCAAGACACCCGGTGCCTAGCAGTTACATCATCCCACTCACAGAGCTGAAGCCAGCCATGGCACTACCCACATGGAAAGGGCATGCCAGGGCTGGAAAGGTGCTCTGCTCCAGCACTCCCTGACACGCTGGGATGAACCATGGCACAGGGGATCTGGCCCTGGGAGCACACACTGCCACACAGGCAGGATCACAACCAGAGTTCAGAGCTACCCCGGCGCTGCGGCAGAGCCTAGCAACAGGCCTGGCAGAAATAACTCGCCTGATCATGATGCAGGTAAGAGATGGAACTGCAAACGTCACTGAGGCTGAGGGGAGAATCGTGATCTCTCTGGAGGAGGGGGAAGAGCCGCCTCCTGCCTCACGTCATTCATCACCTCCAGCAGCAGCCAAAAGCCCAAAAAGGAACCGCGGGGAGGGAGCGCGGGCGGCAGCTCCGGCAGCGGAGCTGTGCTCTGCTCTGCCCCTCCAGGGGCTCTGGGGTTATGGACACACCTCACTCCAACCTCACCCTCACAGTGCTCTCCCTGACAGGCAATCGCAGGGTCTTAATTGCCAAGCACTGCTTCTGCCTTATAATTGTTACTGTGATCGGAATTTCAAACAGTCCCAGAGCAGCAGTTAGTCATAAAATCTATTTCGAGGAGATAGTCGATCTTCCCCCATCCCTCAAAGCCCACGGCCAGGACAGCTGCTTAATAGACTGAAGGAATTCATCCTAACCACTGGGGAGCCAATTAGCAGAGTGGACTTGGATGAGGGGAAAGGGAAGAGGAAATGCCAGTCACTTCCTACTTACCATATTGAACTGCTGCTGCAGTTTTTCATTGGCATAGTTGATACAGAACTGTTCAAAGCTGTTGATTTCAAATGTTTCAAATCTGAAATATGAATACACTCAAAATTACTAGTGTACTAAAAAGAAAAAAAAGGATAAAATTACCCCAAAATTTTAAATTCCCTCCCTCCAGTTAAATTCATTGAATTATTTCAGGCACAAATAACATGGGTCAAGCAAGAAAAGACACAGGGAAATGGCAAATTGCACTACATAGGCACTTTAGTGATGCTCCCTCTCTAGACAGGGATGAGGAACTCAGTGAAAGGACTGATGTTCCTGGAGAGCACATTATTTATCTTTGTAACTGCCACCTTGGAGGAACCTGACATGAAAATTGCTTTGTAACTTCCCAAAATGCAACAGAGAAATAAACTACTAACAGCAAAGAATCTGAAATCCCACTATAAACGTTGAAGTCATGACAAAGATCTTAGTGTGTCAAAACTAAACACCTACTTCCTTCAGCTGGAATAAGCAGCTGCTAAGGTTTGGGGGTTTTTTGTGTAATCCATGCAGTGCTAGGTGATAAAGACAAGAATGCTTTGCAGTCAGATAATTATGTAAGAGTGCCATATCTCTGACAAAAACTCACCCATAGATGTCCAACACCCCGATGAAAGAATGCTGTTTTACAGCAGCATGAAGGGCTTTGTTCACATGATCCACAATCCAGTTGAAGAGGTTAGCATAGATATGTTTGGCAAGTGCATCTCTGGCATTGATGGCGTGAAGTTTGGAAATTGGCTTGATGTAAGTTTCAGTGGCAGTGGCGAGCTTCCTATGGCACAGCCAGTGGGCCATCTCCTCATACTCCACACCCATGAGGTCACAGAAGATAGTGAGGGGCTCATGCTTGGGCTAATAAAAACAGACTCATTAGATATTGAGATATATTACCCACAGCAAACATTCAATCATGCCAACAGAAGTGCCTGCCTGCAGTGACCCCACAATCAGCAGCAACAGCAGCTTCCTCAGCTCTTCCTCCTTCAAAATGTAGCAAGTTCCCTGCTCACTTAGCACACTCACATTGCTGAAAGAATCAGTGAATAATCTTCCTCAAAGGCATTTATTGTACTATACTTGTGCTCACCAAAAGGCTTCACACACAGGGATCCTGCAAGCTTCACAAAAATGAATCATCTGGCTTCTCTGGTGGACTTGTATTTGGAATTCTTACAGCTGTGTCAGGCCAAATGGCCAGAGCTCCTGAGAGGGGCTCTAGGCTGCTCACACACAGCTGTGCCAGGGAGGGATGGGCAAGGAGCAACACAGCCTGAAATACAAGTGTGGAAGGGCTTCAGTGATCTGGTCTCAGTACTTAACAAAGTATTTTCTCAGTGAATTCTGGAGACAAACACTAAGAGATTGCAGCACACTAATGATGTTCTCTAGCTCTCAAATTGAACTGTACAAGAGAAAAAAAACCTGAGCTTTATTTAACTGGGTAAGATCAACCAGTGAGGCTGGCATGTTGAGATGGGTATGTAAGGTTTCTGCACAATGACCAGTGCAGTGCATTCACCACTCCATAGATACCACACTCAGTGGCTAACATGCAAACTGATCACTAGACATCAAGGAGGACAGACAGGTCTTTCCTCCCCAGGAGCTCCCCTACAGCACTTGCTCACCACGCTCCCGTGGCACCTGGTGGCTCAGCAGCACTGACAAGCACTGTCTTGACAAGGACAGATGGCAGAGGACTGCCACCACATGTCCTACAGCTTCAGGGTACATCAGCTTTAAATATTTCCACATCCTTGTGACTTCTCTGGGGCTTCTTCTACTTCTTACAGCATACAGGCCCCATGCAGCTACACCTCCAAAATCCAATTAACTGAGCATGTTTTACTGGCTTGGAAGACAATAATAGAGTAATAATACTTATGAACACTGCACAAAAGAGTGTCACATTAGGGTTGCTCAAGCTGACATTAAACAAACTGATTTATTGCCACAACAGCACAGGGAGCCCTTTGCTGAGCACTCTGCAGTACACTGCTCCTTCCCAGCAGAGCAGTGTACATGGCCAGAGCTCTGGGGTGACATGGCAGTGACAGGGAACAGGTAATGGTGTCCCTGAGCACACATCCACCACTGCCTGCCAGGTGCTGCCAGGACAGGCACCTGCAGCTTTTCACCAGCTCTACCAGTGGGATTCCTGCACTGGAGATACCATCACAACACAGGCAAGCTCCTCATGTCCTGGGGCTCATCAGCTTTCTACCTGTTATCATTAAATGAGCCTTCTGTGTAGTGAAAACCTTTACAAGGCACCAAGGAGCCTGACTGCTGCTGTGGTTTCAAAGCTGTGAGACCCCACGGGCAGGGGGCGTCAGGGCAGGAACACCCATCACCCACAAAGGACCTGCTGCTGTCTCAGCTCCAGAAACTGCCACTGCAGATTCCTGAGAAAGGCACTGACAGTGAGAAAAGAAAAAAACTCTGGAAGTGTTGCTGCTATTGCAAAAGAGAGAAAGTTAATGGCTGTGCAGGCTAGCAGTAGACATTCAAAGACAAGAAAAAGGAGAAACTGGTCCCTCTGATTCCAAAGAAGAGACAAGTCAGAACTGTTTTGTTTCTCATCTCCAGAATATGGGTAAGAAGCCTGGGCCCTCACCAATGAGGAGGGTTTTTCAGATCAGACTATTCAGTCCTTGTTGTTGATCTCCAAGGCAAAAAAGAACTGATAAAACCATGACACTTAGATGAGTCACACAAATCATATCTGTATATCCTATGCTCATGTCTAAGCACCCCAGAGGCATTTGTTTTGCAATTATTTAGGGCATTCTGGCACTTCACACCAAAAAAGAGCCCATCTGGCAAAGCATTTACTGTGTGCAGGGAAGATATTCATGCAGGAATATAAAGATCAAGACATTTGCTCAGGACTTCAAAGCTAGCCTGCCTACTAGACTTTTCTAGGGCAGATCAATTACAGCTATAATTGTGTACCAGTGTTATAATACAGAGAGCACTGTCTAAAGCCTCTGAACTGAGGAGAGTTGAATCTATCCGCAAAAAACGGTGAAAATGTTAGCAAATTAGAAATAAACCCATTTCCATTGCACTCCTTTTCAGAAGAGGTCCCTGCAAACAAGCACAAGGCAGAGCTGTCAGGGTGCACACCGTGCCCTTCAGCTCATCTGCCACTCACAGGAACAGTGCAGCTGTCAGAATCCCGAGATGCAAACTCCACGTTGCCCAGGTGAAGGATGCCAGCCAGGATTCGAAAAATTCCCATCTGGTACGAGTCACTAATCCCTGGAAAAGGATGAATAAAATGGTTTGAATGGAGAGAGCTGCAGTTGATTAAAAATTTGTTAAGGAGAGAACAGTGACTGCTGTGTGTGACTTTGACATTTGACAGTACTAATTGGTTCCACTTCTATAAAAAATGTCTTACAACCAGATGAAACAAAACTCCATTAAAATGAATCATTTAATTTGCTGTTTCAAAGTGCTTTGTCAGTGACCTCCAGCACTGTATATGTTACACCAAGGGAATCCACCATTTATGTTCACATCATGTGCCCTCCTCTTAGATTTATACTACAATATCTTTAAATATCGTCTCCATGCAATACAAGTATCTGAGTCCCAAAGTTTACCAAACTCTCCTGGTTTTAAACACAACAGAGTAAGAAAATAACATACACAAATAATATAGAAAACACTTGCTAGTTTATCAGATTTAGGATATGACTGATTTACTAATTACCTAGCAAAGTGCAGGCCTGCCTGGTGTTCACCATTTCCTTAGCATCATCAACACCATCAATCACAGGGCTTCCACCTTGCTTTGTATAGTGAAAGTAATTTGCATTCCCTGTAATAATAAAGAATACACACATTGATGCAAAAATTTACAGCACACCTGTAAAGCTGTGTCATGATTAAGTTGCTCTTGGCAGAATCCATGATCTGACATATGTACATTTTCACCTTCTGGCCCACATATTCTAAAGAGCATTTTTTTCAAGATTTAACTGTGCAAGTCAGTATTCTTTAAGCTACCTGGTTCCCACAGTAGGTCCTCAAGCATATTCTCTACCTAACCTTGGTTCAGACTTGCACAGTTGTGGAATAATCACTTTGGAAGCAGTTCCTCTCCATGCCTGAGCCAACCACCTACACAGCAGCCCCAGAGCTGAGAGCAGCAGCACTTTGGAGTTACGTGACAGATATGACCATGCTATTACTGCATCAGGGTATTACATTCTGCCCATTTTCTTCTCTTTTCTAATTTGTGGCCTGGCTCAGCCTTATGAGTGTCCATTCAGGCTGAGAAGTCCAGGTTGGAGCCGGGAGAGCTGCACACTGCTCTGGGGACAGCACTGGGCTGCACTGGGAGACCAGCAGCTCTCCTGGGTAAATTCCTGTGGTTTCATGCTCCCAGCTGCACTAACAGACTCCTTTTCTTCTGATCAGCCAAGGTTCCAAGAATGCTGAAAGAGAAGTCTGCTAAATGGCTTCTTCAGTTATAATGACATCAGTTCCTTTCTTTCCTGTGTTAGCAGATGTGAATCCTAAATGTGCCAGGGTGGTGCAGAAGAGCAGAGAAACACTCTAAAACCAGAACAGTATTTCAGAAACCAGCACAGGCTGTGCAGCTTTCCTACTATGAAACAGACTTTTAAAAATATACTGAAGCACTGCAATTTATACTGGATTTTTTAAATGGGGACATGATTGTCTATCTAAGGTCATCATTACACTTTTCTTTTACAAAGCACCAACTCCTGTCAAATGAGAAACTTTATTCTATCAACATTTTAATTTGAAAAAATAAAAAATTCCCTCATCTGCTTTTTGATCACCAAGTTAGCAGAGGTCATAAAGTAATTGCTGCTAACAGCAGATGCAAAATAAGCTTTTCAGGCACTTATACCAGAAAGGGTAAAATTCTCTAGTGGCTGGAACAACAGAAAGGTTTTAAAGAACTAAGAGAAAAGAATTTCACCCTCCAGGACACAGTAAGTCCTACTGGTTGCAACTGCAGCGTATTAGAGTCCGCTGAATAAACAAATCTGTTACTTTTGTTCTTTCAGAAAACCACAAAGTCCAAGGTGTGTAATTTTAGTTATTCTCAATACATTTTAGTATTTAAAAGTTTAGAATTTAAAAGCCAGAAATCTTTCTTTTGGGTCTTTGGCTCAGAAAGCTCAGAGATGCTGCTGTTCCCACAAGCACACAACACAGCAATGTGAATGTCATACCTAAGCGTAGAGTTTTAAACTCAGGCAATGCTGCAGAGGCACAAAGCTGGTAAAAGATGTGGTAATTTCTCTCCTCTTCTGCCTTTAAAAAGAAAGAAATTTGTTATTTTTTTACCACTTAACAAGTGGCAAAAACAACCATGAGCAGAGTTGAATTACTACGTAAAATGCTTTCTCTAGCAATGCATTAAGAGCACAGAAGCCACTTGGAAAAAAGCAAGATAAATCAGCATCTACCACTTCCTTCTTGGTTAATTTAATACATTTTCAACAGCAAGAAGCATGCAGACATTTTAATTTTAAAAAAAAGCATGATTTCACTTTTCTGAGCTGTAGATTACTATTACTTATAGATCAGGATTCTATAGGTGAGGGAAGTGATCATGCTCAGAAGTGTTTCATTTTCCAAAAATAGCTAACACTATTTGCCTCAGCATTTATAGTAATCTGGTAAAGGAAGTATCTTCCTTGCCAAGACTGAATTATAAAATGAAGGACAAACACAGCTCAGAAGGTGATGACTCATGACCAACACCATAATTCTGAACTTAAGCACTCTAAATTCCATACCTCCAAACCAAAAGGAAATGAAAAATACTCTCTTCCAGCTAAACCATGTGCTATAACTGTCTCTTACTTCTAAAATATACAACAGCTCTTCAAGTAGCATCCCCACAGGGTACAAACCATAATTATTATTGTTATATCTTTAGGCAGCCAGTCAAGGACAAGTCCATTTTTACTGAGCTCTAGACTATAAGGTAGGCAAAGCTGGAGAGAAGTGTGGGGTGCTGGATTGGTTCAAGTACGACATAACAAAATGAAGAGATGACATCAGACTTACCTGAAACACCACTCTGGACTTTTCCAAGAGGTAAGTTCTCATGTTAGCACCAATGATTCGATACCTCTTATCAAAGCCAATCTCAATGTATTTACCAAAGCGACTGCTGTTGTCATTCCTGGTAGTTTTGGCATTTCCAATGGACTGGAAAAAGGGAATATGGTAAAGGTTAAACAGCTTGTAGAAATTATCACATCTATTTAATCACCTACATGGCTCATAAACACCTAACAACATTAATTCTCTCCTGGTTTAAAAATAGTCAAAAATCTAATGAAGGATGGTCTCTGCCTGGTCAGCAAGATACATCAAAATACAGTTATTTCATTAATGTAAGACTGGGAGCTGATATTCCTAGCAATTCACTTCCACATAATCTAATTCTACAGCTAAAAATCCTTTATTGTTCTTTGAAGTCTTTCAAAAGGAAATAAAAAGTCTAATAGAAAGCTCACATACACAACAACTTATTTCAAAGACAATAAAACTGTAAGAATTATTTCACCTGTATATATTTATATGGGTAGGTGTATATATACATCTATAGTACTTGCAACTTTTGAAAGTCTACCTGTTACAAACCCACAGCCCACTCTGTTCTGCCTGGCTAACAGTTTATCATTACTAATACTCTCTAATCACCACATTTCCAAACTATTTCTGCAAATATAACACTTAAAAATATTTACTGTGTGCCTAAGCATAATCTAAAAATTAACGTGCATAGACTCAAGTCATGTGAAACTGAACCCTTTCCACAGCAGCTTGGTTACTGCCCCAGAGACAGCCCTGGATGCTGCCCTGCCTCATCTGAACTTTCTCAGATTAATTCAACACAGCTCCACACACAACAAACAATTCCTTGTGCATTTCCTCTATATTACATAATAAATAATGACTGTGGATCCTCCATGGTGCAATTCTGCCTTACCTCCTCAGCACTGGGGTTCACCCCACAGCAGGTACCAGCTGGACACATCAGAATTGAAGGCATGCAAATCACAACACACTGCACTCCAAACAAAAGCATTTTCTCTTCTCAATCAGATGAGAAATTCACCTTCTAAAAAATTCCTAAAGCTATCTCTGTATTAACAGGAATGGCATTTGGAATGTCTGAGATGCAGCACACTGCCCCTCGTCACAGGGCACTGCGTGTGTCACTAAGCCCCAAGTGCATCACTGTATCTGTGTCCAAATTCCCCAGTCCACACAGCCATCCCCTGGATCTCTGTACTGAAATAAACCTCAGACAAACAAATGAGAGCAAGCAGCATTGCTGAGAATCTCAGATCTGCAGGCAGGAGGGCAGTGGATGGGTCAGTGCCAGCTGGTACAGCCTGGCCAGGGGGATTGGGGTGTCAGAAACCCCACGGGAGCAGCAGCAGCAGGGACAGCCAGCAGGGCAGGTGCCAGAGTGGGCATCACATGGACAGCTGCTGGAAAGGATCTAGGAACAAACTGCATCCCTGCACCTCCAAGAAACACCAAATTCATTCAAACTGAATGTACTCTACAAACTGAATGTACTCTAACTGCACTCCTGCGTTTTTTTGAAAGAAGAAAATGATTGCTACTGTGACATACTTTTTGTTGGTAGCAATACAATACCATAATATTTCAGAAACCAATTATTCCTTTGAAAGGTATTACTGATAAAAACAGAAAGTCTTTGGGATTATCAGATTGCTTGCCTGAATACATACAAAGCTATACTATTTGCATAGCTATAGAGGGTAACAAAGAATGAGGGGCAGGAAATGACAAAAAGGTGTGTTTTAAGACTTATTGATTTCCACATTTGCAATAGGAAAACAGTATATAGTTATTGACTACAAAAGTAGTCAAATAGTTGCTAGAAATGTACAGTTACCTCTTGACATTACTGAGTATTTAGTAGGATAAGATAATGTGGTGGTTGCTCCTAAAACATTGATGTTTACGTTGTCCAAATACAAATTTAAAAATTAAATTACCTTCTGCTCCTAAGATTTTACAGTCAGCTCAGCAAATGAGGAGTTTCCAGTTTCTAAAATGAAGCACTCATTTTCTTCCTCAAATATATGGGTTAATTTGTGTTTCTACTGATTAATCAACTGAAGAATTCAAAACATTAATTATGCTATCATAAGAATCTGCCTCAACAGCAAATTTTACAACACTCACTCTAAAGGCAATTTAAAGTTCAAGTGTTGGAAGTTTAAAAGATAACTTTTGTCCAATTATAATAATCCTTAAAGCAACTGAAATATATATTTTGATATACCCACATTCACAAAATTGTTATCCCTAGAAAATAAAAATAAAGCACCCCCACTGATTTTTAGTGAATGAAAAAAGGTATAGATTGGAAGCTCTTTTAGTCCACAGTTTAAACCTCCTTGCTTTTGGAAATTAATTCAGATAATTAGTGGTGAGCTGATGGCCACTGACTGGGAAGTAGGGTCCAAGGGCTGAGAGCAGGATGTTTGCTTTGGGCTTTGAGACCAAACGGAAGAAGGGGTGCAGGGAAACCTGCAGAGCTTGTGTTCCACAGGGCTGTCACTGCAGGCAGATGGGAGCACACCCGGTGCCACTGCTGTGCTGGGCAGGGCAGGACAGGACAGGGGGGGCTCAGCACCTTCCCCTGTCAGCCACACACGGGGGTCAGCATGGCCCTGGGTGGGACAGGGCCCCTCCTGCAATCCCTGCAGCACTGCAAGGGAGCCCTGGGTGGGACAGGGCCCCTCCTGCAATCCCTGCAGCACTGCAAGGGAGCCCTGGGTGGGACAGGGCCCCTCCTGCAATCCCTGCAGCACTGCAAGGGAGCCCTGGGTGGGACACGGCCCCTCCTGCAATCCCTGCAGCACTGCAAGGGAGCCCTGGGTGGGACAGGGCCCCTCCTGCAATCCCTGCAGCACTGCAAGGGAGCCCTGGGTGGGACAGGGCCCCTCCTGCAATCCCTGCAGCACTGCAAGGGAGCCCTGGGTGGGACAGGGCCCCTCCTGCAATCCCTGCAGCACTGCAAGGGAGCCCTGGGTGGGACAGGGCCCCTCCTGCAATCCCTGCAGCACTGCAAGGGAGCCCTGGGTGGGACAGGGCCCCTCCTGCAATCCCTGCAGCACTGCAAGGGAGCCCTGGGTGGGACAGGGCCCCTCCTGCAATCCCTGCAGCACTGCAAGGGAGCCCTGGGTGGGACAGGGCCCCTCCTGCAATCCCTGCAGCACTGCAAGGGAGCCCTGGGTGGGACAGGGCCCCTCCTGCAATCCCTGCAGCACTGCAAGGGAGCCCTGGGTGGGACAGGGCCCCTCCTGCACACATTGCAAGGTGTGCCCTGGGGGCAGCTCCAGCTCACCCTGCCCCACTGCCACTGCTCCCCGGGGCAGCTGCAGCTCCTTGGCTTCCTCCCATGGCTGGACATTTGGGTGAGTCCCTGCCCAGCACAGCACAGCTTGTTTCACCCCACAGAAGGAATTTCAGCACACAGCACCACAAACCAGGCACCATTACCTTGTGACAGACACACACAATGTGATGGGGCAGCTATAGTTTGAGTATCATGAACTCCTCATGCCAGGAGGAAAGGAGGAATAAAACACAGGTCATTTTAAAAAATACCTGAGGAAAAAAACAATGGCAGCATTTTGCATTTCACATTCCACTGCATGCACTCTATTTACTCATGATCTTCCACACTGCAGAGATGCCCAACATCTACCAAAGCATGACCATGTGTGTGCCTATGGACAGAGCTACTTCCCTCCAGAAATTCCCCCAAAACTCTCTCTCTGATGAATCACTTCTTAACAGGAGTTCCTTAATTTCAGAGCCACAACCTGAAACCACATATGTAGGCAAAGACATGAGAAACCATTCAGATAAGTCTAAGAAATCTTTTCTGCTTGCTGTGACATCAGAATTAGTGTCTCCTGAGCTTCCCAGAGAACAGAAGCCCTTAAGCAGGAGGAATTGTACACGTAGTGTGTTGTCTCAAAGTCTACTGCTAGCACCTGCCCTCCAAACCCCTGGGACTTTACTACAGGTGGTTACAACAATTTCCAGAACAGAAACATGAGTCTGAGCTAATTATAGCAAAATTATGTCTTCCAATATCTTTTTTCCCTCTGAAAGAAATGGTGTGCATCCCATGCAACTTTGTTTCCTCAGTCTCTCTTTTTTAATTTTATTTCCTGAAATTCAACATTTGCTTTACTTCCTTTCAGATGAGAATCCACTGTGTGATGTACATATCTGGTGGGTATGACCAACAGCTTTATCCTCTTTGGATACACACAAAACCAGTCTTCTCCAATTGCATTTGGCCAGCAGGCTGGGAACTACCAGTTACAAAGCTGAAGAGACTCAAAGCAGTATTCACATTAAAATTACTTTATGTGAAATATGTTAGCAATATTGAAATATTACCTCCCACCTTCTCTCAGTCTTTCATAAATGAGCAACTCCTTGTAAATGGATTAGACACAAAATTGTAATGTATATTTAGAAATGTTTTTAGGAAGTATGGACTGCTCTCTATTGAATGTTTGTCCCAGTACAGGCAGCAGCTGGAGGGGGGGGTTTGGGGCAGCAGCTCTCTTACCTCCATGATGGGGTTGGAGGCCAAGACCTTCTCCTCGACGTTGGCTTCGCTGGCAGACCCGCTGACCGTGGCAAAGTATCTCATGGCATACTTGGCAGAGACAGTCTTGCCAGCTCCAGACTCCCCACTGACGATGATGGACTGATTCCTCTCATCCCTGGAACACAAACACACGTTAATTCCCAGCTGCTCTCTCACTACCTGCCCCTGCAGCTACTCCTACCCACAGTCTGTGGCACAGGCTCCACTGAATTGTCAGTGGTCATTAGCAAAGGCCACGAATGCCATCTGACAGAGGGAGGAATCAACAGCAGGGTCAGCCACAGAAACCTTCCGTCCCTCTGCTCTCATCACCAGCTTATCCCAGAATTGTTTTGAATCTGAAAAATTCAAGCATGGCTGTTCAGGACAGAGGTAGCAGCTCTGGAGCGAAGACAGTGCCTTTGTTGTGGAAGAAATTCTTTTCTTGCAAAAAAGAATAATTTCCATTTGGTCCTAAAATAATTTTCTCTCAACTCACAGAGAACTCTGTGCATAAACCCAACTATATGAGTAAACAACATATTGCAAAACACAGAAATTAACATTAATAAAGTCTGAAACTTTATTAATGAAAATAAAGACCATATGTGCTTTATAAAGCTTTTACATTTTCAAAGAAAATGAAGTTTTAAAAAGAAGTATTTTGAAGTATTCCTGTCAGTTGGGTAAGTTGAATCCTATTTTACTCACTAATGTGAAAAGAAGCAAAAGGAGGAATAAGACTTCTCCCCAGTGCTTTACAGAGCTGGGGCTGGAACACAGCGAGCACAGCCCAGGCACAGAGCAGGCTGCACAGCCCAGGAGCTGTGAATGACATTTCAGACAGCACAGTAGCCACCAAGCAGGGTCTGCAGGGAGCTCTGTGTGCCTGGGATGGCTTGCAGTAACAATAAAGATTTCCAGATAGAAAATGAAGAAGAAACCCTCTTGTTTCTTCGCCATTCCCCCTCCCAGAGTTCACCCGTGGCAGTCAGAGGTGTGTGGGAGAGAGCCTGTGGCTCAGGAAGCTGCAGGAGTTTTATGGATCCTCCTGCTCAAAGAGAGCAGCAGCAGGATGCAGGAGAAATCCAAACAAATGCCCAAAAATGCACTTTTAAATGGGACAAGTGGTAACAAACAAGACAGTTCCTGCAGTGAGTCAAAACCAACCACTTCTTCATAGGATTGGCACCATTCTCTCTGTCTTCCTCCTGTGCTCTTTGAAATAGAAAAAAGAAAACCCCATGCCATTTGAAAATATGAAACTTCTGGTCTGATTGCAGAGACTGCTTAACACAAGAGATAGGCAACAACATCACAAGCTTTTCATTTGTAGATCACCAGCTGTTTGATGCATTAAATATCATTAAATATCTGAATTCTGAGGAAGCTCTATGAAATGGATCCTCTGATGGTTGAGATTTTTTAGTTCCCAAAGTACAAAAAGCTTTCAGAAAACCAAGGAATGCAAACTCACTCAGACTTCTGACAAAACAGACTTCTGACAAAACTGTCAATAAAAAACAAGCTCTTTTGCCAAGAAAAGCCATGGAAATAAAGGTGTCTCATTCTCACTGTCACATTCCTGAAGGATATGTGTGGGAGCATGGAAAACACACACTGGTTTTACAGTCCTTAGTCTCTTCTCAGGAGTTCCACTTTTACAAAGACAGTAATGAAAAAATGAGTTTGAAATAATTCCTCCTTAACAATACTGTTGCTAATTAGCCAGAGTTTCCTTCCCCTGTGTCATAAGATATGAAGAGTTCTCTTCTCCTTAGCACACACTCGTGTGCCCAGGAATAAGGGATCCATTATTTCATTCCTGTCTGAGTCCATACACACATCCACACTGCATCATTGCCCTGGAGAAGAGGGGCTTTGCTCTGTGTATCTGCAAACATTGCTGCTGTCCCTTGTCGCAGACATCTTTTATGAAAAATCCTTTCTTTAGGATCCTTCTGCCTGAGAAGCCGAGAGGCCTCAGGAACAAAATGTAAGCACTGATTATCTGCTGCTGTGGAATGCAACAGGTGCATCTGTGATTGGCCCATGTTGGATGTTTGTAATTAATGGCCAATCACAGTCAGCTGGCTCAGACAGAGAGCCGAGCCACAAACCTTTATCATTCTTTGCTATTCTATTCTTAGCTAGCCTTCTGATGAAATCCTTTCTTCTATTCTTTTAGTATAGTTTTAATGTAATATATATAATAAAATAATAAACCAGCCTTCTGAAACATGGAGTCAGATCCTCATCTCTTCCCTCATCCTGGGACCCCTGTGAACACCGTCACAGTCCCTGCTGCAAGGACTCTGTGGCTGCAGCAGGCACCAGGGCACACAAAGGGCTCCTCAGTGTCTGCAGCAGTGCCCTCCATCCACACTCAGGGCTGCTCTTGTCTCCCCCAGTACATTAGTCCATTGTTCTGCTTTAACACACTGCACTGGCCATCCTCTAGTGTATTATTCTTTGTGCTGCTTGCCAGAGAGAAAGGAAAACACAACAAAACACCCCAGATCACACTGGAAGGGGAAAGGACAGAGCAGCACAACCCAAAGAGCAGCAGGGGATGAGCCCTTCCTGCCACAGCCCCTCGGCCCATGGACATCCCCTTGGGCACTGCACCTCCATCCACTCCTGGAGAGGTGCTCTGGTCCTGCCAGGCAGCTGTGCCAGCTCAGAAAGCTCTTTAACATGATAAAACTTTAAAGAAAAAAGAAACCACCACATTTAAAAGGAAAATAACAAGTAAACTAGCATCAAAGCCCTTTGGATGATGTATGAAATGCAGTGAGAATTTTTTTATTATTATTTGGTATAAGCAGTGGTCTAAAGAATAGCATCTGTTTATGTCAAATGAAATTTTCATATTCAGGGTGTGCTACGAACAAAACAAAATTTAAAAGACCAAAACAAAGGGGAAAATACCCAGAAAACAAAAGTGACACCACTGAAGTTCTTTCTCAGATATATACTACACCTTTAGAGTTATTTTTAGTTAAATAATTAACCCCTGACCTTTGACCTGACATTTTGAGTATTTAACATGTTGCCAGTCAGAAAAAAAAGCTATAATTATAACTTTCAGCCAATGAAACATGTAAGTAGGGCAACAGCTTTATGTGACACCTCTCTGCAGCCAGATGCCACATTTTATGCAATATGTCATCTTCCTGCAGTGTTTTTCTCTGCATAAAACAAGTAAATAGATGATTTTAAAATTAAGATTACTTCTGAATGGAGGGAACATTTTAATTATGCTTTTGCCAACAGAAATGAGCAAAAGCAATCTGGGAGATGAGAGGTGGAGGAGTGCTCTTTCCCCCAAAGGCAGATAGCAATCAGACCCCAGCACACAGAACTACACCACTGTGATGCAATATTCAGCCAAATTATCTTGAAAAGATAAGACTGAAAATTGACTGGGAGCAATTCACCACTCATGGAAACACCACGTTATGTTCAGGATCACATTCAGCTTTTGCTCCTCTGAACAGCAGCAGAATAAAGGAATGACAGACCTACATTAAAAGTGCCATTTTAAGATGACAGACCCAGACACTTGACAAGCTGAAATGTGAAATGATGGGCTGGGGTTGCTAGCAGCAGAGGATTTGGTTCAGACCTCTACTGTATAAACTCTCTCAGGCCTATACTTTGGGAATCATGGGAGGGTAACAGCTATTTCTTGATAAACACAAGAATGAGGAAACACTATGCAACACCTAACTGGCAATTTAAGGCATTCTCTATCACAAAAAATAATGCAGAACCATATTTCTGCATAGGCTGGTAACTTGTAAAGACAATTTCACTTTATCTACAAAATTTTGTTGACAGGCAGTATGTTTATGAGGAAATTCACTGTCAGAGTGCCAAAACTGAGAAGATTCAGCCTTACCTAGTTCCTGGAAGCTCGAGATTACAGCCTGCATAGCAACAGGGGCTTCTTGTGCTTGGAATAAACATTGCAAAATTTAACACTGGAAATAGCTTCTGCTCAAAGAAGGTTCAGCACTGAGGAAGACAGAGTGCTGCAAACTGCCCAGGGATACCTCCCATACAGAAAAGGGTTTTGCAGATTATGAATGAAATAACAGCACACAAGAAACCAGCAAGTGGTTATAAAAGCATCACCTCGCTCTCAAGAGGTGAAAAACCCCCATTGCTGAGGATGTGCATGTATCTTAATGCAATGCTTTTAACAGCACTGGCTACTTTGAATTTTATACTGCATAAAATGTGCAGTAGATGCTTTCAGAAGAGCTCAGGGTGGAGGAACTGCTCCTCTCACGAGGGCACAGTTGCCAGATATATTGGAAGCAAGAGCAACACTCACTGAGCACCTCCAATTTGTACAGAATGCTGCAACAACACTGAGCAATCATTGACAGCTCTCATTATCCAGGAGAGCTTGTAACAATTTTAGTTGACCAAAGGAAAAATTGAGGCAAAAAAAAAAAACCAGTGCAAGAATTGAAACCTCAGAGTTGCTAATATTTTTTCAAACAATTTTCAAATAATTTTCAAACAATTTTCATTCAAAATTGCACCCACTTAAGCTGCTTCCCACAAAACCCAAAATAGCTTACTGCTTCAAAGTCATCACTTCCACAGCAAACTGTCCAAACAGATCAGGATAATCAAGACATACAGACTAAAAAAATCCTTTCAGATACCTCTGTTTACCTTCTTCCTCTGTACCAACTGAAAATCTCTCTCTGAAGCAGGAAAACTGAAAGTTAAAAGCCTCTCTATCAATAAGCATTTCAGAGAGGATTAAAGAAGCCCAAAGGTTTTTTGAATCATCAAAGCACAACACCTTTTTGTGCTTTTTTTGCTTCCCATGGTTGATGCATCAGACGTATCACTTGATCTTGGCTTTCAGACTCATGACTCCACAGCAAATAATGTTAAATACATGTATATGAGCACACCCCCCACACAAACATCAACTTGGGAAAACAAACACAAGGAATACAGAATTACTGACAACAAAAGGAACACAGAAATTATTGACATCAACCTCAATACTCCTGTCAATCCATTCATACACAAGCTACCAGCATCTCTCCCTGGACAAACTGTATCACTAACAGCTGATTTGGAAAGATTCTGATATGGACTTGGAAA